AGAATATTCAAAAACACAGACTGGACGTGGTAGGGTATTTATACATTCCAATAACAAAAAAGACACTAAATATAGAACTGAGAGTACTCGCAGTTACTGACCACTAGTCCAAAGCCAATAACAACTAAAAAACATGCATCTAAGACTAAAATATCAATCAGTACACATCCAACATCCAATGGATTTAGTGTAAAGATGTCATTATCAGTTAAAGAAAAAACATGACCGTGTGCAATGCCAAGATACAGGTATCGACAAATTGTAGAGCCATGAATGTGCATCTGTATATAACAATAGTATTTAGTTTGATTTTAATTTACTGATAACGAAATCAATATTTATACCAATAAAAATAATATTCAAAGATCTAATTACAGTGTTGAATTAGTAAACTTTTAGAATAAATTCATTTAAAGGATCGATAAGTTTACCCGGATCGTATCTAAATGCTCGGGCTCAGTAAACAACTTCTCCGTAAAAATAAGGATGAGCTATTTCGTTTGAAATAATCTTCTACAGGTACAGCAAAACTTTCAAACCAAATCTTTGTATCGATGGAAGAATTGAGTAAAGGGTTAAAGTAATTTGTGGTAACGAAATCCATGACTTAAGTTTGAATTTGGGTGGCGTCACTTTAACCTTTTTACAAATGGAAAAATTGCTGAATTTTTCGTTTCCATTCTCTAACTTACGTTTGCCTCAACCAAACTGATACACAATGCTTATTACTACAAAACTCAGATCAAGTACGAAATTAGGTAGCGTCACGTTTACCGTTATTGAGTAATGTCCCTTTATAACATTATATGCAAGCGGGGCATCATCTGTGTCCCTGGACACATTCCCCATCTATTTTGTGTAGAGTTTCCCCGTGTAAAACTGAAACACATAAATCTATAGGAAAGGACAGATACTACCGTTTATATTTGATTTATTTGTTCCTTTGGGTAAATTTCGGCAGTATATTTAGAAAACTCCTGATTATTTAACGAAAACATATCATCAAGTTAACAGTCAGTGTTGATGAATTTAGGCCTATCAATTTATTTATGCCCTTTATATTTAAAGTCAGTCATAACCCGAAGTTCTTTCATGGATGGGAATAAATATTTCCGAATTTATACATTTATGATGTCAACAGTTAAAATATTTTGAGTGTTCACCCTTTAAGGTTCTAAAAATATTGCAAAAGATGTCACGTCAATATTGCATTAAAAGTTGGACGACAAGAGTTGATGCAATCGAATGACTTCCTACAGCGACAACAGCTTAATAGAGGACTAATTATTTAGTCGTCCATGTACTTATACAGTAAAACATCAATATAATGTTCAAATGTTTCATTATAGTTTTATAGAAACCGATCTTTAACTCGTTCATAGCTAATGATTTTTAATGACAGTAAAACTGATTTATAACTGAGAATGCGTTACTTCAAATATAGAATGCTAAAAACAAATGCCATTTCAATCCAGCGATGGGTTAAAAGCATACTATGTTGTGTTTTGAAGCATGCAGCCAATTTTCTGATAGAAATCAAAAGATGAAGGACAGATCGACAATTTGAAGAACATTTCGATGCTGATTGATATTGGTGTTTGGTATTATATATTCCTGGACAGTTCTGCAAAAATATTGTCTGTAATAACAGAAACATAAGTTTGAGCTATTTACAAACAGTTTCGGGAACTACAATATATTCGATTGTTGTTTCTAGTATTTTAACGCCCTATTAGCAATATTACAGCCTATTCCGGTTTCATAAAGACCATCTTATAAAGGAAGAAATTTATGAAAGATTGATAATTATATGTATAACTTTTATGATGCTAAATATGTAATTATCAAAAACATGGAAATTCATCTTGACTTTCTATGCACGATTGCCGGATTTTCTTATGTAATGTTAAAGCACTTGCCATTCGATCGTTGAGACTCAGGTTCGGGGAATTTAACTTTCATGTTGCTATAGTTATGAGGAAATTAATCCGTTGACATAGTTTGGGTTATTTTTTGGTAGAAAAGAGTTTATAGAAAAGTCTTAGATAGTTGAATGTTTGGATCGTTGATAGTTAGTACTCGAAGGTTTGCATTTTCAAGATGTTATAAAAAAGTATAACAAAAATACCGAAATCCAAGGCAAATTAAAAAAGTGGAAGTCCATAAAACTGACAAAATCAAACGCTATCAATCAACGGAACAAGTGAAAAACAACTGCAATATTCCTGACTTGGTACAGGCATTTTTCGAAGAAAATGGTGGGTAAAACCTAGTTTTATAGCTAGCTAAATCTCCTTCTTGTATGACAGTTGTTTATAATTCCGTTATATTGACAAAATTTAGTGAGCAACCCAAACAGACATAATAGGTTAATGTGACAATAATTGGGATCCAGCAGCCAAAACTGTGTAAACATACACCGCAGACATACAACACAACTGAATTAAAAATTAATAATTTATAACTGTTTAGCTTAAAATCAAGTTTTTGAAGGCATTTGATTGTTGATATCAATACCATATTCATAGACAGCTATTTCTTTACATCAATAGATCTAATACATGTTAGTATGTTAACGGCAGTATAATACTTCATATGTCCATACCAAAACCACAAACAACGGAGCAATAATCTTGTGTTGTTTATATATAAGGAAATGAAAATAAACCTTTTTTGTACGTCCGTAGCGCTTTTCTAGATTTTCCTTCCACAAGAACGAACTATTGAAAGCCAATTCAAGGATGTATATATATGTTAGCGGCAATAAGTGAAATTAGGCATTAAGCCTAAATCCTAGGCAATAAGCTAACGCCTAGGCATTAAGTTATTGCCTGAAATATTTAGGCATTAAGCTTATTTCCTGAAATCTGATGATGATTTTTCAACATATTGCCAAACATCCTTTCAGGCAACAGGGATCCCAAGTACTTGTACATTCATTGAAATATTCTTGATGTAAGTTATATTCCAAATATTAATATATATATTAATTTAACAGATCTTCAAATTTAAGCATTTTTCCATAATTAATTTGCATTTTTTTGTGGTATTACAAAATTAATATGTTTCAAACAGCTGATTGTATCTCATGAAAGGAGGGGGGATTGAAGATTCTATTTAAAAATTATTTGAAGAAATTTCACACTTCACTGGTCTAGCTGGTTTTGGTCTGGTCAAAAGTAGACGAATTTTTGCTCACTTCATCTTTCCATTGATTTTTTTTGGATATGTAAAAAATACTGTTAAACATTTTGTTAAATACCTCTTTTTCACTTCTTAATCTGGATAATTATCATTTAAATGACATGCTACTGGAGAAACATTTCTTGAATCTTTGCGGTCCAAATTTGAATAAGGGAAATCAAGGACCCAAGACAATAAACTGATCTTTTGGCAAAGATTAAACCTTTAACTTTTATAATCCACAGAAAAGACAGCAACTATAGACTACTACAATTAAAAAAAGTTATGACCTTTTCTATTTTGGAGGCTTTGAAATGTTTTTGATAAGTAAAGTAAAAGAGAATGATGAGGAAAATTTCAAAATGTGTTTTTTTTTCTGGAGGAAATGTGTGGTACTTTGGAAAATGCACATAATCAGGTCATGGCCAGTATGATGTAAACAGCTTAATAATGACTATACAAATATTTCTCGTGATTCCTTCGAACTATTTCTTTCACTTTGGGGAAATTGTAACATTGAGAAAAAAACAGGTATTTAGGAAACGGGAGTAAGAGGGAAATACGTTTTATCCAATGTATTCAACAGAAGAGGACAGTTTTATTTATTTGATTTCCAATCAAACTCAGATGGAAACTATAACTTTCATATGGTGTACCAAAATCATCTAACATTAACGTCAAAATGTGCTTCAGAGGTTACTTTTGATTTAATTGATGTGTTCACAATTTTTGGTATGCCCCATAACCTGCAAAGTGACTATGGTAGTGATTGTACAGCTTTGGTTATTTATCCGAGTAAAGTGGCCAGAACTGGTGACTTTATTTCAAGTAGTTGACATTTTAAACTTCAGTTCTTATAGTGTTGTTATGTATCAAATGTATCTTATCTTTGAATATATGTCTTTTTATTTCCTCGCATTTACAATCTAGGCACTAAGATTAATGCCTGGACACATTTTTTCAGGAATTGAGCTTAAGAATAATGCAGACATCATTTAGACAATAGACTTACTGCCTAGACGTTAGCTTATTGTCTAGGATTTAAGCTTAATGCCTAATTTCACTTATTGCCGCTAACATATACATACGTTAATACATGAGGAGCTACTTAACCAAAAGGGACCTAAAAAGAATAGCAAAAACAATCTAAGGTCAACTTTGTCTAAGGAATTCTGAACTAAAAAATATTGATATTTATGTACGGAAAATTTAAGAAAGGTGCGTTATCTTTATGTCGATGCCGAGTTGATGATACCCCCTGAAACTAGGAGTGCATTAGTAACGATACATGAAATAATCTTTAGACACGATTTAAGCCTATTTTTTATCAATCACCGTCTTTATTTTCACTAGCTTTAACATTTTAGATTGATAAGATGTGGAATTTAAAACAGCATGCAAATATTCAGGAGAAGATTTGATATCTATTCTTGAGAGAGGGGTGGGGACTTTTGTATTTGTACCAAAAAGTACTATGCCATGCAATAATTAACACACCGAAAGCCCCCCCCCCTTCCTGCATTATTGAAAACTTTCATTCTGCATTGACAATAATATCTTGGTGTAAATACGCCACCAAGGTGTATCTAATACATATATTGTTGATGTACTTTTACTATTTTTTTTAGTCATACAGTATTACAGCAAACATGATCTTAAATAAAATGTCCATGATATACCAACATCTTTGGTTATTTTTTTAAACCCGTTAATTACCAAATTGTATTTGAATAAAGAAAATCCGTTCTACTTTTTTTTCAGTATTTGTTTTATAAGCCCTTGCTTGTATTTTCATTTTGATATATTTTATTCGACAGAATTCGACTTGTCCCGCTTGTCAGAAGTATGTTTGGATGGAACGTTTGGATATAAATGTAGCTACCGATGTCGATGTTACAGGGACCAAGTATGCAACAAAGAGACGGGGGTATGCCCTAGAGGAAGATGTGCGGAGGGATTTTGGGGACCACGATGTCAGCTTTGTAAGTAGTTCCCGTTGTAAATGAATGATGGTAATTGGAAACCCTTCGCATGACGCCTCAACCTCTTTGGTATGGTGTTCAAATTTTAAACGTATCATCGATAAAAATTACAAATCATGTCGGTAACATTTAGTTGTATGAGAATCGATTTTGACATCATATTATAAATGCATTACACCATGGTGAAAAATTCGTTTCTTTTTCGTCATGTTATTTCGTTAATAGTCAGAAAATAACTTCAAATTTCTTTTCAGTAACTAATAAATAATCTAAGAAAATGAATTAGGAGACACTTTCATTTAGCAAAGCTTCAAAATCAATTGAATATCAAACCAAAAGGGAATGCGAATGTGCTGGTCTTTTACAAAGAATTGATTAGAAAATTAAAGAAAGTTAAAAGAAAGTAGGAATTTTCATAACAATGAAGCAATGAAGACGCAATATGCACTGCTATCGAACACCTTAGATCGTAATTATATATTATTTTGAAAATTGCAGTCAAACAATATATACAGTAGAATTTTCAGAGTTTAATAAACAACAATAGCATATATACCTTCGTGTTACCAACAAAGAAATTTTAAATCTTCTGCGGAAGTGTGAAAACCATCTTTTCCTATAGAATAATGATTAGAATTTTGTTAGTATTTAAGTTTTATAACTTATATTTTATGTTACATATATTGCTTATTTAATATAAAAATACAACCTGCAAGCATGCACAATATTATTTCTGTACATCTACTAACAGCAAACAACTGCTTTTATAATGGACAAGCCAAAAATTATATGGGAACAAAAGCAGTGACCGACAATTTATACACCTGTCAGAGATGGGAAACCCAGGAACCCCATCGTCATTCATATACAGTGACGGATTTTCCGGATCCGACGATGCCGGAAAACTACTGCCGAACTACTCAGGATTCTGCTCGACCCTGGTGTTACACGACGAACAAAGACCAGAGATGGGAACATTGTAATATAAATAATTGCAGTACGTATATAAAACTTAGCAGAGCTAGAGCTTCACTGAGCACTTTAGAGCTTTTATAGCATGTGATACTTTATACACTACGTAGATTTATGTGAATTTATATGCTATTGTACATATATACATTGTCTTGTGCTTTTATGCTGCATATAAACTTGACCGACAAATGATGTAAGTATAAATATTGCCTAAATGTTTAAAAGTAGTTTAGAAGAGTCAAACGGACTTCAGGTCTTATGTAGAATAGGAGCAATTGAGTGAATCGCAGAGAAAGCTTATAATGTATGCATTAATAGTATAGTATATTTGAAAGGAAACTATCACTTTTAGAAGTAGACTCAGAATGACAAAACTGTAATAATGAACTCTATAGTGTGAAAGATATTTTGTGAGACTAAATATCTATAGGATAATCCACTAGCATTTTCATACACTGTTTAACTTTGTAATAATTTGGCATTGACATTTCTTGACTGCTTCTATGGATGAAACTTTTAAAAACATTTCAAAATGCCCATGACTACTTTGACTGAAGTGAATAATCCACTACCAAGCCAATAATAAAACGTATTGAGGAACATAGTAATTGACAAACAAACCGCACAAATTTTCACATTCAATTTGATAGTTGATCTAATTTCCCACAAAACAAATAATTATATTTCACGTTCAGGATAAATCTCATTAGTAAGTTTTTCGTTCACACAAGAACAAGATATTGGAAGAAAATAAAACAAAAAAAATTGAAGAAAAAAAATCCGTAGCAGTTTTCAAGGAAATCTTTTTACTGCGTTTCAACTCTCTATTCTTATGTGGGAAAAGTATCTTGTTTTGTCATTCGATAGCGAAACTAGGTGCATTGTCTCGTATTAATTATAATATATTAAAGACTCGACTCTATACTTTTCCTTATTTAGACTTTATACATTTCTTTTAATAAGGTATACTATATCCAATATATTAAAATTTGTTTTTTGATTACTTAAATGATTTACTTTAAAAAACGTTTAATTTTGATTATTTTAGAACATTAAAGGGTATTACATGTCTCGATAGTGGGAGTACTAGTATTTGAAATAAAATATACATTTTTTTATCAAAAAAATATACTTTATTTTAGACTGTCCAGCTGGACGGTTTGGGAACAACTGTGAACATGAATGTCATTGTGCAGATCAAAGCGAGGCTTGTGATAGTATCCTTGGAATGTGCTCCAGCGGCTGTGCTCAAGGATGGGATGGTTTTAACTGTCAGAAACGTAAGTATAATAGTCTATGGATTTAAAGGCACTGAAAATGTTAACATCTCCGTGAATGTATTCAAGGGTGACCAAAAATATTCTGAGTAGATTTGAACAAGCATCTATATAGGTATAGATACCAAATTAAGTTTATATACAGAAATGAAATCGTATTCATCATCAATATAAACATAAGCAGCTGTGGAATGGTTGCCAATGAGAAAAGTAGCCATCAAAGACCAAAGGATGTAATAAGTTTATGCTCCAAAACATGAAAACCAATGATGGCTTTGCCAGTAATTGTATGCATGACTTTTGTCTTAGTATTGTACGGATTTGGCTATATGAGAATAAAGTTCATCAATAGATAAGTCTGAGCAACATCACTACACGATCATTTTTGTATTAAAATATGAAACGCACTATTTGTATTAATATATATATGATCGTCTTAAATGGTAGTGAAAGCTGAAATCTATTTAAAATAGACAAATGTCTGTACCATATGGCATGCTTAAAATAAGTCTTAGACGGATGTGATTACATTTTATAGAGACTACATTTCAATACCAAATTCAAGACTTAAAACAAAAAGTTAAAAACAAATATAAGCATAGACGAGTCCAAACTAGTTTAACGAGTGCACCGTCTTCCCTTTTTATCAGTGGACGAACAATATGTATACAAAAGATTGTTAGTCGTTTTAGCCCTGTACTGTTGAAGACTGCGATACTATCTATATGTATGTTGGTTATTTGTGTCGTTTGGTAGCTGTATCATTGATGTTTAACCTACATCTAGTTTTATTCATAGTTAACATTCTTACAGCTGATCTATTTTAGTCTGTACTTCATGCATAAAAGTTAAGTTTGTTTGTTTTTTAGGTGAACCATGAACTCTGATTTAACTACATGTAAATACAGTATAATCTGGTCAAATAGTTTTTTCCGTCTTTCTTTGTTACCTGTCCAATGATTTGATTAGCTAATAATAACTATTGTTATTGTTTCATTAGGTAAAAATAGGTAAAAGTGATTTCATAGTCCACCTAGAAAACAAGCAAACCTATCTTTATTATTCTGTGTACACACTCGAATATAGGTGCTGTTATTCATATTATATTATATATGCTCTGATAGAGATTTTGAGTTTTGTCTGTGATTACTATATATTAATTTAAACGAAGAAATGATTCATCAGGTATATGTTTGTGGTTGCTAATTTCAAACTGATAATATTTTTTTTTCATTACAGCGGTCGCTTGCCCAGAAAACAGATATGGTTGGGATTGTTCTAATCAGTGTTACTGTCAAAATCCGCTTCATTGTCATCGTTTCTATGGACCAACAGACCAATGCAAATGTATCAACGGATATTTCAATCCACCTTTTTGTCAACCAGGTATGATTACTGTGACATTTTAGCTCATTTGAACTAAACTTACTATAAATGATTGACAGAAACTCTATTCAGCAAAAATGACAATCAAGAAAAGACTTTGGCCACATAGTTTCCATTCATATTCGTATTACATTGTGTAAATTGTATGCAAACGTACCAGGTGAGCAATTAAGGCTCTTTGTAGCCTCAAAGATTACACCTCGACATAATAAATGGTTCCTTATCTTTATTCTTGAAACGGCATTACGTCTTTGGAGGATAGTTGTCTCATTTGCAATATGACAATCAAGACAAGATTTTGGCAACATAGTTTCCATTCAACACACATATTCTTATTGCATTGTGTCAGTTGTATGCAAACATTCCAGGTGAGCAATTAAGACTCTTTGTAGCCTCAAAGATTACGGCCCGACATAATAAATGGTTCCTTATCTTTATTCTTGAAACGGCATTACGTCTTTGGAGGATAGTTGTCTCATTTGCAATAATAAAATCATCGCCTAATTTTTATATTAAAGCTCTTTTTCTTTTTACTACAGATCATAAATGTTTATTGTTTCCGGAAAAGTAAAAAAATACAAGGCCACCCAAATTTCATATCAAATAACAAATGATGAACTAAAACTAAAAAAATATTATAAAAATTGCCTACAGGTGTTTTCTACTTTGTCCATGCCAGTCAGATGGTATTGTTGATAAACATCTACATTGCCACTGTAAAAAAAAGTCTAGTATCTATCAACAGAAATGAACAATCACAACAATCATCAAGAAAGTTGGATTGGAGTTAAGTGCCGGTCAAAACAATAATCATCTAGATATAAAACATGTGTTAGCCTATAGTTAATCACGTGATCAGTATATACAAACAATCAAGTAACAAAAATGAAGATCTCACATCTGGATGGCTACTTTTATTATATTATTGGAAAGAACACAGAACAATGTTTAGGGTGATTAATCAAAGCAACGGCGAACGTCTGCAAATTGACTGCTATCAAAAGAAAATAATGTTTGTTCAAATTATAAAGTATTCAATCTTTTTTAGCTTTTATGAACGTCAATAACGTTTTGCAATGAAAGTTTTGGAACCTGAATGATGATGATGCTTAAATCATGGGGTTTATTTAACAAATTATTCAATGCAACTATAAATGATTGGGAAATTATTTAAACGTTGGCGGAATCATAAATTCATATTTGCCTTGCGCAATTTATAACCGAAATAAAAATTAAGATAGCTGTTACATCTTCGGGCAGCCAAATACCGTAGTTTGTAAACAGGAAGATAAAGCAGTCTTTAATCTACTGATTTAATCCTCTCTTTGTTCTGCAACAAACAAGGTATTTACAAATCATATCATCATTTCAAAGATTTAAAGATATCAAAACCTGATATCTGTTTTATTTTGGTTAGTCACTGATGTTTGAGATAAGTATCTATTTGAATACCCGGGCTTCTTTTATTTTTTCATTTGCCATACCGTCATCTTTAGATCACCTGATCAAATGAACAGTGTTGTTAGCATCATGGCGTCCTTCGGGCGCACGTTTAACATCATGAGAAATCTTCTCCTCTGATTCCAAAGGAAAACTTGACCACCTTCATTCTGTGGATATCAGGTTTAAATATTGTATCCAATGTTCCAATTAGCATGGCTAGACTTCCAAACTTATTTAACTATGTAGCATAGCGAGTTAAATCAATAAAAACATTGTAAAGGTCATGAAGAGTAACCAGAACAAAGAGAGGATTAAATTAGTTGATTAAAGATTGTTTTATTTAAGTTATAAATTGCGCAAGGACAATATGAATTTATGATTCCGCCAGCTTATAAATAATTTCTCATTGATTATCGCATTGAATAAGAGGTTGAATAAACCCCATGATTTAAGCATCATCATCATTCATGAACAAATGTTGCTGAAATTGTTCTATGGTGTTGTTTTACTCTCAGTGTTATGTTGTATCGAATCCTCATAATTATTTCACATTGGAGTCAGACTTATGCATAAATTTAATGTGAGCGATATAGGCTCATTGGAGCCTTTAGTTATTACTTCTTCTGTTGCGTTTTGAGATATATGATACAAATATAGAATCTTTTTTCTTCACAGTTTTATCAGACACTTTCTCGCACCTGTGTTTCGGTTTTTATTGGCACCATTCTGTTTTTATCTGTTAATGACGTCATTGATATGAACTGTTAAGAGTCTAAATTTAATAGGATTTTTATTAGTTTAAGTCGGAGAAGCTTTCAATTAGCCTTCTAATAATAAGAACGATATTTTTCTAAGAATATAATTATAAAGGTTAGATTAATAGTCTGATTCAAACAGAAATTGTGTTCTTATTCTATTTAGTTCTTGTTTAAAAAAAATTAACAACTAGTTGTTATGTTATATTAACGTGTCTACTACTTAACAAAGTGTTATTGTAAGTAAATGAAATCGTTGTATGTAGCTGATCAGCAAACTTTCGATTATTATTGTTCCTAATCAACATCTACATACGTTTGTACTTTTGTGAATGTATTGTCTTAATCATAAGTTATTCAGAAATATCCATCGCTTTCTATGTTCTGGTATAGGTTTTAATACGTACAAGCACAACTAAAGTATTTCGGCGTTTTTATTTACATATATTATTTTGAATCTGATAACCAAATGTTTTATTGTACATTGTGATTGAATTGTTGGGTTGTGTGAAGTGTTGATGTAATGATGATATTGATAATTTCATGTCTGTTGCCAAGTAAAAGTAATGGTACAACCTATAACAAAAACACAGGTGATCTCGATTACATTCTGTATTTCTGGTGATGTAATCCTGTCTCATTTGAATGTTTGAGCCAGTCAAGCTTGCTCTCTATGTCATTACCCTGGATTTATAGTCGGTGTAAAATTCTGAATTTAAGGTGTATTTCTCCAGAGTTTCAATGCAATACAAGTTAATATAATGCAGTTTGATAGACAAGGAGGCCTAATTTCCATGGAAATTGTTAATTTTTATAACTTGGGGGCGCTATTTCATGTAAAACCTAATGGAGGCTGTTAATGGTAAAGTGTCGATTGCAGTTTCTTTGAAATAGGCGGCCAAAGCTACTTTATCAAATTAAAAATGTAAAAAATGCAGAAATAATAAAGTTTTAAATACTTTGGTTTTATTTTATCATACCAAAGCGATGCTTTTAATGTTGATTTTTTTCATATGAGATAAGTGATTGGATTTTTTCACAATCTTTCATACCTTCAAAATCTAGAAGACTTCCATAACATCGTTTATTGTGATGAAATCTGTACGTAACAAAAAAACACACCAAAAAAAAAAACGACCGGCAATGCTTGGTTTTACCTCTTAGTCAACCAATATATGAATCCCTTTTTAGACGATGTAAAGTTTCTCTCTCAGAATTTCGAGAACTCCGAATGGTTGCATTTTACTTCTTCTACATTGCAGTGACCACCTTCGACACACTAAAGTTTATGTCACTTGTACAAACGAATGGCTTAGTGGAGGTGTATTAACTATATTTTGGGATCATAAATCAAAATCAATTTTCGCGTTTTTAAGTGGTCAACACGTTTTATATTGTTCTCGTATTAAAAATATATACACAAGACGAGTTTAATTCATGTTGGCGTAAATTGATACAGTTGCTTTGAATAACCCGATAGAGTCGCTCATCATAGTGCTCACTGGAAGGCTAGTAATAATCTAAATAGTACGGGGACAGATTGTTTCTTTGCATATTTATGGTCTGCATAATGGATTGTGGTTAGGAGTGGGTGCATGTTTCGTGACTGTCTTAGCGGTTCGATTTGTATGTCTATATTTAGGATTGCGACAGTTGATGTCAGATTCTGTAAAACATAACATGTTGAGGTACTTTATTATTTCACTAATACTTTAGACATAGATTTCTCTATGTCGGTTAGTTAAAAACATACAGCCCTTCTTTGTACCTTGACTATTTTGTTTATATCATCACCAAGTAAGGGTAGCTAACCAAGTAAGCATATTCTAGTGATGGTCCTCTAAAGATATTTATGCCTGCATGTTACTTGGAACTTGTGTTGAGTATCCTGAGGAGAAACCAAATGTACTGTTAGCCTTATTGCAAATGTTGGTTATAAAAACTCATCCATGATATACCATGCTTATAATTTGTTACTCACTCAAAACAGTTTAAAATCTATCAAAAAAGGAAGTAAGAGAGCATGTAAAACCAAAAATTCCGAAAAGTATTTGCTAACTACGGCTAAGGAGATCTATGCATAGAGGTAGACAAACTTGAGTGTTTCGATTAATTCAAAATTATTAAACAGATAATAACCGTATCATTGAAAATTCATTTCAACTCATGACTATTAGGCAGATGGTTTTGTTCCGATTTTAAAATCAAAGTTCCTTTTTTAAAAGAAATAATGACGAAATTCACGAATTTTATACAACTGATGTTATACATTTCCATCATTGTGTTATAAGTTAATGGAAACCGTTGCGGAACCAAAATTATTCATTTTCGGAGATAATTACTTGGCCTGCTTTAGATGCCTTAAATCAGTTTTTGCAGTTAATAATAGTAAAAAAATTGAATCAGAAGAAATATCCAACCTGCAAAATAAAAAATATACCTTTGAAATGGAAAAATGCTATCTCATTTATCCAAAGATAACATCAATTACTTTTTCATTATCAATATGTGGAGATGTGTTACGAACTATTCACAAAAGTTTACTGAACTGCTGTTTCTATAAATAACAAATTCTTCAAATTAGATCTACAAAAGTAAGAGTTATTCAAACCAAGTCGTTTTTATGTCCATTTCAACACACGGAAAGAGAGCTTCTAAGAACGGCTTTGAAAAAAACATTTGTAAAGAATACTTTAATGTAAAAATAGTAATGTATGGCTAATTAGCTTTCTCGCATAACCGATTCTGGTTTAATTGCGAAGAATTAGTTGCTTGAAAGAAAAGAAAGCTATTTACTAACCAAACTTAACTTAATAAACTCCAAATAGGATTATGGTTTATGCAGAAAAAAATATCATGCAGGAATGTCTTCAACATATATTCAAAAATATTCTCTCTCAGTTATCACCCCCTGATGGTTATTACGGAATTAGAAATCGCAGCGTCAGAATTATGCTCTTTATATATATTGTGCCTTAAATAAACTTGAAATAAAGAAAGAAATATACCATTAAGAACGATGTTGTACAAGTAGCATATGGTAATGTAAATAGCATCATAAATACGAATCTACATTTCAGTAACTGTACCCAAAATCATGTTCTTCGACAACGTGAAAGTAAACCCTGGACAATCTACAACATTTAATTGTACTGTATCAGCCTTTCCTGTGCCAGCAGAAAGTGAGATAAGACTTATGGGTCCAGCTGGACGTCGAATAGCCATGATAGAATCCACGGAGTTAGGAACTGACACAAGGATAAACCTGTTTCAAGTTGATTTTGTAAATAAAGATGATACTTTTACGTGTGTAGTCCGTTCAGTCTCAGGACAAGCATCGCGTACTGTAGCAACAAACGTTTATGGTAAGACTTAAGTCAGAATATTTACAACAACAAAAACATCGAAAAAGAAGGATAAGATAATTATCTAAAGTACGTTATAAAATATCTTTCTTCAATATGGAAAATTGTCCAGTCTGCAAATGTTTCACGACTGACCCTTTATCTTCAGATGTTTATTCTCACCCGACAACTTACTAATGATAGTGAGAGACAAACTAAGAAGACTACTAAATAAAGACAATGACGGTTATTTGAATACCTTGTTCAAGAAATTACCGTTATGGTAAAATATATAAAGTTTGATTTTCAAAATAAGATCACCTTACTTAAGCAGTCAACGTAAAACAATAAATGTATTTCTGTATGAGTTTTGTCTCTTATTTCAGAATTACCTTTGCTGAAGAATGCTCCAAATGTGTCTGTGAAAGGTCCAGGAATTTCATCTGTTATTATTGAATGGCCGCCGTGGAGTAGATCACGTGGCGATGTAGGTGATCCCCCTATTCTGTGGTATGACGTTTGGATGAACAAGGTTGGAAGATCACCTGAGAAGTTTGGGATAGTTACACATATGAACTGTCGTGGGATGTGTCGTTATACGTTAAATGATCTTGATCCTAACACAGAATATGCTATAAGAGTTTCTGTCAGGAGAGATGGAGATGGTGGAGACGGACCTCTCGGTGCTATTCTGTACACTAAAACTAAATGCTCAGGTAAACTGTTAAATAATAAATTACGAAAAAAGTGAGAATGTAAAGCATAAAAGTAATTCAAACTTCGTGGTCTGAATAGATAAAATGGAACATTACCAAAGCTGAATTCCCACTTTACCTATCATAAGGGGTCAAATGGTATTTTAAAAACACGTATCGTGCGCTAAAATCGATTGCATATGTTTATATTACTACAACTACCTGTCTGGTGAAGTGATGCTGCTCGTTGATTGTCAGTTCTCGACGATACCATCAACCCAATCGCCTATGTTTCTATACTCGCATATATTTGTTCCAATTTGCGGTTTCAGAACCGTATTCTATCTGGGTAATACCTTCTAAACATTGTGATTGGCAAACAACGTCCTAAATTGTGAAAATTAAACCAATGACGTGACGTTATTTTCATTTTGGTGTACGAACAATGAAAATATCTATAATCCTTTACATTCTGATACAGCACATTAGAACCTTATTTTTTGGTTTCGACGCTTTTCAATGTAAATAAAATAAGATTTGGTGTGTTCGTCAATGAGAAGACATCTGGTGCCTAATATACGATCTTCAATAATAAACAAGTGTTTATAATATGTAAAGATGCAAGAGTTCGGAAAAGTTGTGAATACATTAAACTGAAACAAAAAAAGTCATTTACACCAACAACACCAAATTCCTAATTTTTCATGTAATTTGAATTTGGCATTCCTAACTTTTGTTCTTGAGCGCAGCTGATTAAGATTATGTGAAATATGCTATGAGCAATGAAACCAGTAGCATACATTTATATCAAAATGAAGAGGCATAAAATTCTTATTTTGATAATTGAGCTGCGTCGGATAGAAATCGACCTTATGCAAGTGCATGTATAAAACTTTGAATGATTTTGGAACATTCAAATAGGAAATAAAAAATGAATTTTGGTCTATTTTTTAGGTTAATTATATCAACTAAATTTTTCAAACAGTTACAGACTTTCCAAAGCTATTTTTCAACCCGAAATAGGTTAACAGATTATTGATATTCATTTGCATAAGGTCGATTTCTATCCAACGCAGCTCATATATTGAAGGTAATTGTATTTTTTCAGCACCAAACTCGCCACCAATCATCGATGAGTTGACTTCTGATTTGGAGTACAATGCATCTTATCCTCAAACTCAAATCATTGTGTTATGGAAGGTATGTACAAGTTATGTAAATTATTGAAACACTGCAGGCTCGATCTGACATTTCACATTTTCAAATGTTCACTTTAAAAAAATTGACAGTTATAGTACTTTCCTTTGCAGTAAATTATTACAGTAAGAAACAATTACATTGAACAAGAAATAAATGATGTTTTCACAAGTGGATAATTGTCTGTAGAGATAGGAGACAAATTAAGTGTCCACATTCAAAGGACAATTATTTAATTATATTTGTAAAAATAAGTCACTTTTGAAATATTGATTGCCATTACTGGAATAAAGTGACAGATAATTCTTCTTTCTGTCGTTTTTATCTTCAATGTAAACCAATTACCTCTCTAATTGTATCCATTTTAACATGATGATTGATTTGCTGTAAGATGTCTTAAAATCCCAGTGGTATTGTGCTATAAGATATCTTTTCCATTTTTTTTATCTTTAGGACGCTGCAAAGTCCACATGGAATTGTGATAATATAGCTAAATACCAAGTGTTTATCACCAGTAGTTGGAAAGGATTTCAACCACAGGCTGTCCATGTCTCAGGAGATACACCGGCTGATGCTAAAAACAGAAAAAGTGTTTTGGTTTCAGACCTTAATCCTGGAACAGAATATTGTGTCAGAATGAGTTTTAGTAATGACCGAGCGTTCGTCAGTCCAAAATCGGAGAGGAAATGTGCAAAAACCCCAAAGACAAGTATGATATTCCTGTTCAAGGCCTTTACATTTATATTTCATTTGCTACTATGTTTTGTTTTATTTTGAAAAGAGGTCAGGATCATTTGTCATTTATCTAGTAACATGGATGAGCCATAACAGCCGTTAAATGAAATTAGTTGTCATAAGAATAAGATTTTATCTAATGGTTGTTTGAGACAAAATAAGATTACTATCTAACCATGACTTCTTAAGTTCTTAGGTCAATGCCTGAATGAATATTATTTTCTCATAACCATAATGTTACAGAGAAATTAGTATACAATTATAATACAATAATAATGCATAATAATGCAGTACATGTATCTATTTGTGTATATTTTGAGCATAGGCCAACCTTTTGTTTTAAAAATTTCGCAGAATGACTAAATCATTGTTTTACATACCAATTGAAAAACTTTGATTAAGATAATTCAATTTACGATGATTTTGATTTTAAAAAGAAGCAATCATTACATAGTTTTAATTACTTTCAGCACCCCTACAGCCACGGAATTTAAGGAAGGTGAAAAGTAGTAGTACCACTATTACAGTTGCATGGGAACAACCATACTCTCCATACTCTGTGGTGGTCAATACCTATCACTTAGCATATTGGAAGGCTACCAATCAGTTGTCAACCAAAACTGGAATGGAAGTTGTTTCTAACAATCCGAACGTGGAGCATAGCATTACTGACCTAGAACCAAATACTAAATATAATATAGAGGTACACTCAACCATGCAACACCTTAAATCTATTTATGTAATTAAGGGTCAAACAATAAACTAGTTAACGTCACATATTTATACAGATATTATTACTAAGCCCGTTAATTTAATTTGTCTGTTTTTCTAGACTTTAGAATTTAACCAGATTCGAATGAAATAAAATCAGGTATACAAAAAATATCATTATACCCTTTAATGTTATTTATTAAGGACAATTGAAAAGGCATAACATAGTTTCATTCAGATATTTTGTCTATAAATGAAATTGAAATGCATGACTCAATGTTCAATTTGAAACAAATTCAATAATGGAGAAGACACAGATGCAGTAGGTTATTTTCATTATTTAATAGGTACAAGCCACCAACTCTGCAGGTTTAGGAGATCCGTCCTTTTTTGTCGGATTTACAGACGAAAACTGTAAGTAGGAAACCGCTAATACAACAGTGCAGACATTTCGAACTTAATAGTATGCAGAATTAAACATAAGAAAACGTTTCTAGTTCTGTGTTTTACGAGTGGTACTAAGTTGTTTAGAATGAGCGGTACAGATTATATTTATGACATCTTTTATGAGTTATTAGTAAATAAATCATCATCTATTCATTATTATTTATCATTCATCAATATTGAGGAACAGGAAATTACTTTTCTTGCTTGCTCTTAAAATAGATTAATTTATAACAAATCTTAGGAATTCTATCTTTGTTTAATCAATTTATGTACCTTTATCTGCGAAAACTCCATTTTTTTGTTACATAACTATGTAGAAATGCAATTTGATAAATGTATTTTAAAGAAATGTCTTGTACGTTTCAGTGCCGTCGAAAATTGCATTATTTCGTAACACTTCAAGGTCAGATACTTCTATAACATTGGAATGGGAGCATCCAAGAATTACGAATGGCAAGCTGCTTTATTATCTTGTAAGTAGGAATAATCTGGAAGGAAAGAACTCGTAATGGAAAGTGACAAGCACTATATTGCATATAGTCTGGCATTCTCATTTAATGCTTTCATATAGCTGTTAATAGATTTTCTGTTCTGTTCATAAATGAAATGATTGATTCATTACATTTCCTTTTCTGATTTCGAAAAGAACTCAGATGAAAAAAATTAGTTACTTCACGATACCCACTTTTTCAAATGAAAATAACTTTTCATTGTATTTAAAAGTATTTATGTGTTTTTAGTCTTGTTATATTTACTTGATAACTTGTTTGTTTTAGGTTCGTTGTAAAGCTGAAGCGACATTGTCTTTTATGGACATGCATATCAAAGAAGCACATGTTCCAATGGATAAACAGTCTCATCTATTCAACGATCTTCACCCTGCTACAAAGTACCTATGTTCTATCAGTGCAAGTAGTCGTGCAGGTATTGGAACTGCAACAAACATAGTTGTCTGGACACAGTCATCAGGTAATTAGTTTTGATTATTCTCACTTTCAAATGTCTTCAATAAAGAACGCGTGTTCCTTTCAGCTGTCCATTTTTATTTCATCGATGTAATCAATTAAGTTTATAGAATTATTTGAAAGATTTTGATGCTAAATAAGCCTGGTTGTCTTTTTGTTCAACCATTATAATTTTCTTTGTAGAATTAAAAGAGCCACCGGTTCCTAGTATTGTTGATAGGACAGATACAACTATTACAATAAAGATAGGACAAGTTTTGGACCCGACTGTGAGGTATAAGGTGTTTATAGGGTTAAGTTGGACAATGAAGCCGTAGTTAGGAAAACCAAAATAATTTCTATAATATGAGCACAGGTCATCACATTAAGTATGAACTGATTCAAATGAATTTGATTAGTACGTTAACATCTCTGAATATAGTTTATAATTGTATTTAAATATACAATATATATAATTTTAGAAAATCAAGACAGGAATAAATTAAGGCGACAGTAGTTTATCTTATAGTTACTAGTATGTGTTTTCCTCGGTTTTAGTTTGTAACCCGGATTTGTTTTCTCTCAATCGGTTTATGACTTTTGAACACCGGTATACTACTCTTGCCTTTATACTTAAACCTCGTGAATCGATTAAGAAGAGAAAAATCAAGATAACAAAAGAAAAACCGAGGGAATCTTATGAACTCCAGAAATATTTTCAAGATCTAACCACCTTTACGAAGTTAAGTACAATATTATTTTATGATATTTTGAAATCGTGTCTTAGCTGTCAAGGCGTCTGTAACAGGTAGTTTTGCGGCTGCAGCCCTATGATATTCAGGATTTCTGTCAATCACAAGTCGTATTAAATGTGACAATTTAAAGTTGGGAGCTGTAGCTTTAGGGTAAAGGTGTCGAATTTAGTTACATCTTGATATTTTAACCAATAGGTTCTTGTACGCAAATCAGCTGTCACAAATCATGTCTGATCCGTATCTTTAGGATTATGGTAAGTTCAGTGATGAACAAAACTGTCTTCCTGTTATAACTTTAGCTTGAACGTACGGATCACAAATTTTGTGTAAAGTTGCGGACTCAAGATTCACCTTTACCAACAATGTTACTCCCTATCTTTGTTATTCTTGGAGTTCAATAATGATAGTTTTTTTGTGATTGTTAACCATGATAACTTGAAGTTGTGTAATGAGATAGGCTGAAATATCAAGCCTTAATATTAAGGTAATACACTTATTGGCACTTTTCATAACCAACACGACGGGTACCAAATCAGGAACAGTTTACCCTTTGTGACTTTTTGTTTACCCCTGTATTTGTAAGACTTTATATTCAGATTTTTTTTCTTCTGAAAAATGTCCCTTTTCAACATATCCTCTGTTGTTTCTTTTGGCGATCCATTTTTCTCACTTTTTACCTCGGTCAACCCACTTTGAAATTTAAGCTGTCACTCTTTATTAATGTTCACCGGCTACTTCGCAAAGTCATATAATAAGTTTTAAAGTGGCCGATCCTAAATTCTTGTTCATAAATGTCACAGACAGGTCGAACATTGCCATTGCCAAAAAAAAATATGACATTGCTGTAAGATCTCTTTCAATATATCCATTTAAAGACCATATTGATAAATTTTTAATAACAATATTGTTATGAATGCATATAATTATTAATTAAAGAATGATAAAGTTTTGTTTGTTCTAGTTTTTACAGAGTAATAGTCGAGGAGACAAAGAGAATTGCCAAGAGGGAAGTTCCAGAGATGATAAAGGACGTTCGTCTTGACTTTTCAACAGCAGTTGCTTTGGGTTCTAGGGCCTATGTAACAGCACAGTTGAATAAACAACAACCACATGTGATTGGCAATTTTGTAGTTGGGGACAACCAAACATACAATGGTTTCTATAATGCACCTCTGTCACCATCTAAACAGTATGATGTTTGGTATGGAGCATTTGCTATGGTAGATGGAGTAAGTTATTAATAAGTTTCTTTAAATCTTGAAATGCTTTTTCCTTAATCATAATTTATAAGGACTTTCGAAAATTGAATCTTGCCTTTTTCAAGAGGATTATGGTGGGATTTGTGATTTGTAACTTACATCCGATGAGCCAAACGGGAATCAAATATGACCAATTCCACAAAACAAATGTTTTCGTTGAGCCTTATGTAAAATTACGCAAACGACTCTTTCCTTTGAAATATCTGGACAATGAATGAAAATCCATTAAGATTTAAATCGAGGTAAAAATAGAAAACTGAGGGAATCGCATGAACTCCAAATAGAGCGAGATCGGATGCTTCGACAGGGTAATCGCCCGATGCTATGCATGCATCACATACCATCGAATCAACAGTTAGAATATCTCAATCGGGGATAGGACACAATAAAGCAAGTTTGTTTGGCATCATTACAGTTTCGGACTTATATATTATGATTGAGGCTTACAACTTAGATTTAGTCAATACAATGTATATATACCAGGTGAGCAATGCAGGTTCTTTGGGACCACTATTTTTATTGATGTTTTTATTATTGGTTCTTAATGTACCAATAACAATAATTGATTGACTGTTGCTTAACGTCCAGTGGTAAATATTTGATGCATGTTCAGGACGAGATCAAATTAACAATACAAACAATAGGTAGGTCCTGTTATAATGTTCGATCTGGATGAAGTGCGGAACATAAGGACTGGAAAAGAGAGGCGAAAGGTACCAAAAAGACTTTCAAACTCACAAGTTGAAAACTAACTGACAACGCCATGACTAAAAAAGAAAAAGACAAACATACAAACAACAGTACACAAAACACAACATAGAAAACTAAACACTGAGCAACACGAACCCCACCAAAACTCAAGGTGATCTCAGATGAGGGTAAATTAGATAGGAACATTATTTAGCCATGCAAGCTAATGATAATGAACATGTGTAAAACATCGATAAACTACTATTGCCTAAATCAATGTTAGAAAATAAAAACAACCTAATCACACACTTCTTTTCGTCTTTGTTCTTTGTTTTTCTTCGATTTGTGAGTTCTGATTGTCCACCTGTTATCTTCCGCCTCCTTTTTCTTCTGTTTGCCTACTTTGAAGAATTGTTTAAATTGGCACAGTCGTGCTGCTATTGTAAGTACATGGCATGGATCCTAGTGGATTTTATGCAATAAATTTCTCATGAGATAAAAATTCATGTAATTAGTGTTTTTATGTTATTAAATTAGGACTAATTTTTGTTTTTTTTATTCGTAAGAAATGGTAACTTTGATACTACTACTATTTTATTGGTTTTAATCTTATAGGTCTGCAATTAGTGTTTTTCCATTACGTAGATATTAAAATACACCCTGAAAAACCTTGTTACTTGAGCCTTACTTAAATGAATGATTAAAATACCCCTGAAATAACCTTATTACTTGACCCTTAACGAAATAATCAAAAGACATCTGGTCATTTGGGCATTTGATTGATTCAAGCCACAAATAAATTCGATTCCTACTTCAAAACTATATTTAAATCAATTTTTACATTCTAAATTTGTCTAAAAGGTATGTTTATCATTAGATAATCTAGTGTTTTCTTCCACTTTGTTGACTTCTAAGAGAATTAAGGTTATAGTATTACTGAAAATATCGTTAATCATTTTCTTTAGGGGATTCACTTTATAATTAGATATTAAATCAATATTTACAGATCTAAAATGTCAAAATTAATATCTGCCTGAATAAAAGAGAGTTTGCTTTCACGACAGAAGTTCGAGTGTAATAGCTTCTTGGAAAACCCCAAGGTAAAAACAATAATTGATAAAGAACAGTTTGTCTGAACACAATACGTGGCGGATTTAATTGAAGATAATATAAAATTGACAATCAAGTCAGTGTTAAATATTTTCCATATAATCCTTAAATAATCAACAACTCTTAAAAGTAAGACTTAGAACGTAAACCAATTGTAACCAGTTGGACTTGAATAAACCTGATGTCTAAACGAATTTCTAAATTTTATTTCGTTAGTTCTGCTTGAAATAAATTCGACCCCTTTACTCATAAAGTTTTGAAATATACTACTTGAAAACATATCTATTTCATACGAAAAACACACTTACAAAAACACCAAGAATTGAGTGCAAATAGTTCTAGAATGGAGATGCATCATCTGTAAATGAAACGGATTATTTTCTTGTAGATTCTTCGACAATCAATTGTAAAAGCAGAAAAACAAGTAGTTGGTATGTACACAACAATAAAAGGAAAAGATTTAGCTAACACGGTTATGTAATCTATATGTTGCATAACTTTCTTTTAGCTATATTCAGAGCTTGCTATAATTGTTGGATTATATAAATTGTTTCCTATTCAAGGTCAACTAAAACAACAATAAAATGTCTGTTAAATATGGATTACATACTGGATATAATACTATTTCAAGCCTTTGCACGAAAATTCTTTAGCACTAGTTGATACTTATAAGACATAAACATGTGAAAAGCTGTTTGACCAAAGGGACCTAAAATTACCCAAATTCGTTTTCGGTAAACTTTGTCTGTGGGAAATGGAACCTAAGTTTCTTAATAATTTCTATATTTATCAACAGAGAATTTAAGAAAAGTTTGTTAAAAATCATGTCAGCGAAGAAGCATTGACCTCTGAAATGATGATACACTCGGGGACTAACAATCCACCAGCAACGATATCGACCCAGTGCTAGTAAATGAAATTATCAATACATTATGTTCGTGCTTAAGTAGTCTCAGGTGCCTGAGAGAGTAGGAATCTTTGTTTTTTTTAACATACATCAACGAAGAATTTAAGAAAAAAAAAACAGTTTTTATAAATTCCATTTGATTAATTTTCAGATTAAAACTTTTAAAGTTGAACTTAATGTTTCTTCCTTTTTTGGCAGCAGCTAGTATTGAACCAGCACCAGAAGCGAACCATGTTCCAGTTATTGTTGCAGTCTTGGTCGTTTTTATCCTTCTCATCCTAGTCTTTGCACTTCTTCTATTTTTATGGAGGTATGCAGTGCTTAAGTTAAACAATTAAGAATATTATAAGTTTACACAATAAGGTATAAAGCAAATACATGTATGATTCATTTTACAGTTTGAAAAAAACCATAAATGCTGGTTTCTAATATAACATGTTATACTCATGTACTGCACCAGATGTGCATTTTGGCAAATAATGTCCCTTTAGTGATGTTCGAAGACAAACCAAAATATTTTTAAATCCAAAACCTAATCCGAATGTTGAGAGCTTTTATACCAAAAATGATACCAAATATTGCAAACCCCATAATACAGATTCAGGGCTATATTTTATGAAGATACATTCCCTAATTTCAATAAATTCCTAAGTTTTATGACTTTTATTTTCAATGAAAACAATACCTGTATGTACATGTCTGTACCCATATACCCTCTTAGACTACCAGTTAAACAGCAGACGTATCAAACAAGTGGAAATGTTTTTGCATGCCGTGAAATCATACTCAATTCTTCAACATGCTGGCATAAGAAATTTATGAAATGATTTTTATAATCAGTCAATTAATTAATTGTGAATTGATATAAATTTCCATAGGAAGAGACATATGGCAGCAGAGAGAGAGAAGGCAGAGATGCCGAACTTTGGACCAACTATAATTCCTGAACCTGATACATCAACACCATCCACACCTGTTGGTAAGTAAACTAATATGAAGTCATTAAAAATATATGCGTTCACAGTGATATTGATATTAACAAGTACAAATTTGTTAAGAAACGTTGCACATGCGATTTTGATTTTTTCCTCACGTTTTTAATAAACATAATGTATGTATATATTCTTGCTTTATTGGATGGTTGGTTTTTAGTTTGTTTTTACTGAGACACATCACAAGCTCCTTCATTTTAATCTTGTATTTTTGAATTCTTCTCTCATTCAGTTACTATATTATGATAAGAATAGTATTGTGTTCTTATAGTGTACACACATTACTCTGCTATTTGGTTTATGCATGCTTCTATATGAGGATGTTTTATACTAGTAAGTATATTTTTACTTCATCCATGTTTTTATTTGTTGATGCAATGTTTAAGTCTGTGTTGTAATCCTATACATTTCTTGGTATTTTGTTCGGTTATTGAATTTGAATTATATTGATTGAAATTCGTAACTGGAATTACTTTGTTCCTTAATGATAAAGAAGTTCATATTTTTACTGCATTTCAAGGAGCTCAATTACATATTCAGGCAAACAACAAGCTATCATTGACTTAGGGCAAAACTAGTGATAGACAGACAATACAAAACTATTAAATAAGAAATACGACATAACTAGAAATTATTTTCATATCATATTTTTGTAATTTACAACTAAATGTGCTTTAAGGTGAACATTTGTTTTGCTGTAATCATGCAAACCAGTATCAACAGATTGTACAAAACAAGTATTTATTCCATCAGCTGTCAGCTTGACTTAATGTTGAAAGGTTTCTATCATCTATATATGATTATTGAGTTAAAGAAATTGATGCTGTAAGAATCTAAAAAAAACCTTAAAATAAAATCATTATCCATGTTTTGATTACATTTCCATTGTCGATTTCTTTATCGCTTAGCATGAAAAGCTTTAATTTAAAAAGAATGTTTGAACGACCAGCAATTTTTTCTATTGATTTTATTTTGATTATCTATTAATGTTAACTGAATATTTCATTTTATAAAACACAAGAGCTATGGTTTGCTGTATTTCAAAATTCTGTACACAAGCCTTAGTAGGTACATATAAATCAATTCGTTTGTCTTTTTGCCGCATTTTCATGGTCATTACATTTGTGCCTGAGGAGAAGAAAATATGGCATAATTTATATTGGACAAGCGACATTTACTTTCCGCGTTCTGAGGATTGATTTATCTTAAATTGAAGTTTTGTCATTGTACCATGAGATTCCGCTGGATATTCTATTTATCAAAAAATATATTATTGAAAATATGTACATTTAAGTTAAAGCCAATTCATCCTTGAAAAACATATTATGAATGCTATCTTTATTTTGTTAAAAAGAGGAGATGGGACTAACACTTTTATTTTTATCAGGACATATCAATAATCCTAGTTCTATTATTTTTTTTATTTTTTAGTGTTACCTTTTTTTTTCATTTTCCGACTTGTTGAATAAAGCTGGTTAACATTTAACATACTAAGTGTCATCAATATACAATAAACAGCACATATTGTTATTTTTTAAACTTAGATGATGTTGAGTTAGAACCATTAATTGAACCATGCACCACAAAAAATGAAGCAGAAACTGAACCTGTTTATGGTAATGTAGGTGCTTGTGTAATACCGTCAGTTAGAGTAGAAGATCTATGGGATTATGTTAAACAGAAGAAGGAAAATGATGTGGAAGGATTTCGTACTGAATACAGGGTAATCATTTCTACATCGTCTCACAGTACACAACTTTTAATTAGATTATATTGACGGAATAATTCACTTCATAGAAACTGTTCTGATTTCAAAGCCAACAGGAAGTAGAACTTTTATAAATTTGCCGTGCTTACTTGACTGCCGAGCCATGAGTCATATCTTTTTACTGTATAGTGTAACCTTTTTCTTTCAGCTTATTCCGGCTGGTCTAACAGCGTGCTGTGAAGTAGCACAGAAGTCGGAAAACAAAATAAAAAATCGTTACGGGAACATTATCGCTTGTGAGTTTTTATACTTAAGATGATTTTTAATCAAACCATGGGTGGTGAAAGATGTTTTAAAATTATTAAGAGTTATGATTCAAAGATATTAATGTTCTCAGTAGTAGGCGTTTTCACTTTGTACAAACTGATTTACAACATTTAAATACAATGGACCTTAGAGCTTTAATTTGTAATCAACTTGGGAAGTGATATAATGTTGTAATTCCCACATAAATCACGTTTTGGAAAAAATACATCCCCCATAATGCGAATCATATAAGTATTTAAGCAATAATTGAATAAAGATTATATACTTGTTATATAGATAGGAATTATTGTTCAGTTTAACTAGATTAAGGAATTATATATAAAACACATTTCATTAGTATTAATTAGACTAATCATATATGTTCTCAATATTGGGATGACATAGTAACTTTAATAGTCCTTCTAAACAGTTTAAAATTACAAGGTTTATTTGACATGATTAAATGCATCTATCCTGATTCGATTCAAACTTATATCATTATCTTTACCTGAAATATTCAGATGACCACAGTCGAGTTATACTGACACCTGTTGCTGATGATGTGAACGATGATTATACAAATGCAAATTATATTGATGTAAGTATCTAGCATCCTGTGTAAAGAAGATATAGTAAGCTTAAGTTGAAAAGCATCATAATTGCCTTGAAATTGAAATTGATACCGATAAATGCAAGCGAGTACATATTAATCACGGTAATGATAAGATTTAAAAAAACCAATCTGTTTAGTAAATACCAATTGCGATATAAAACGTTAAGAAAAGTCAGGAATCGATTCCTATATATATTTGCTGTTTTACCGCCTCATTATTAATTGTGCAAAGGGAAATGAAAATAAAACTTTATAGATTTTTGGCATACGAATCGCTTTTCAGAATGACCTTAAAAACAACGCTCTAACAAACACATTTGAAAACTAGGGATGTATGAATATGTCTAAACGTTGGAATCTTTATAACAAAAGGGAAATGAAAGGAATTCCTCTTAGTTCGACTTTGTCTGAGGGAATTGAAACCTTAGTTTTTTAATAATTTCTTAATTCATAAATGGGAAATTTTTGAAAAGTATTTAGAAATCTGGCTACTGAGCTGGTGAGAATTACAGTCGACTAGCAGTGGTATCGACCTTCATCAGTTGATATAGATTGCTCAAACAAAATAATTTGAGATCCAAGGAAGTATAAATATATAGATCATCCTTGTCTGAGATAATTGGAACCTTAGTTTTCCTAAATATTTCTTAATCAATCAACATCTGAATTAATAATACCTTTGATTACAAAATCAGTCTATACTTACCACAGAATATTTGCTTGTCTTATGCAATAGAATGGGTGCAACTGGATTAATACCCGGTTTTTGCAGGACTCATGTTGCTTAATCTGGAATTATTTCTCTGCTATATTTTATGGATTGTTGTTTTCATTTTATTTCGGTCATGGTCGCTTGTATTTTTCTCCTACATGTGTTTTTAATACTCTTTGGTATCAATGATTTGATATATTATAGGCAACCGTAGTTTACCGATGTCAAAATTAGATTCACAAGAAACAGGGCTGTTAAGGGTAAATGAGAAAAATTGAAATATTGGGGTTAAACCCGAAACAAATCAAAAGCAAGGAGACAAGCGAACAGACCAACAAAACAGACTTATTCAAAAATTGAATACTAAAATCAAAACAATGTTTTAAAGCATAATGATCTGTCGTCATTCCATCCAAAAGATTAAATATGATTTAGATATTATTATTTATATAATAATTGATGATTTTTGTCAATGTTCTACATTCGCAGGGATACAAAAGAGAGAAAGCTTACATTGCAGCTCAAGGTATGAACATTTCTTGTTGCTCATATAAACGGCAATAAGAGTTTATGTGTAAACGTATTATGTCGATTTCAGTGCCAATGATATGTGTTTTTTATTAATCGGATACGTAAAAGACAAAATGAAGGGAAGCTCATTTCTTAAAATATTAAAAAGCAAAACAGGGACATAACCACAAACACCCGAAAATGTCCGAGGCCAACTTTATGTTTTAATTTTTTTCCCTGAGCACTGGCTACTGGGTGAATACTGCTGTCAAGGACGGTTAGTCCACCAGCAGTAACACCACCCGGTATTGTATTAATCTATACGTATGATATTGATCTTATTGCACATGACACATTTGTTTTGGAACATCTTTCAACGTGTGCGTTGTTAAAGGTTAATTTGGGTAAATTTATTTGTCATAAAACTTGTTAATTGAAGGTATTCTTCATATAAAAAAAACGAAAAATAAGGTTTTGTTTGTAAGAGAAGCAAGTAATTATCGAAAATATATTTCTGTTAACTATATATATAGAAATTGTTGTAATCTAGACATTTGATAAATAATATTATTTTAAAATTTAGAAAAAATAATTCTTAAATACAGTTCTCACAAAAGAGTTCAAATATTTGGATATTAAATTCATACTTCTATGTAAATCGGAATTGCATTTTGATGCAAAGAGTTTACAGCTGTAGCAGTTTGATAACATCATTTCTTGTTTAATTACTTAAGGTCCTACCAAACCGACAATAGATGATATATGGAGAATGGTCTGGCAAGAGGACTCTAAAACAATCATAATGCTCACGAATCCAACAGAAACTGGAAAGGTAAGACAGATTATTTATTTAATACATTAAACATATAATATTCGTCCTTGGTAACAATTTGAAAAACCTACAAACATTAAAGAGCATTATTGCACCCGAGGAATGTTTTTTTGCAAATACTTATTTAATGTTTTTAAACGAAGTAAACAATTTAGTACTGATGTAATATTACTATAGCTAATTTTTTTATCAACAGAAAAAATGTGAACAGTATTGGCCCATTGAAGGGAAACAGGAGTATGCAGGTCTAATTGTTGAGTTTTTAGAATGTCAATATTTACCAGACTTTTCCATCAGAACATTCCGCATTTCTAAGGTAAGAACAATATCGTTGAATTAACAGTCATGGTTTGTTGGTACAGAATATGTGTCAATGAGATAATAACCCAATAACACAGTTTAACTTGAAGAGACACTTAGAGGTCAACATATTGACCCACTTACATATTTTTAGATTCACTAAAAGACATTTTTTTCAGGTAAAAACAGATTTTAATAGTTATTGCATCTTTTTTTTTTATTGGTATGCCTTCCTTTTGTACTTGTCAGGACGATAAAACGACGGTAGTCAAACAGTTCCATTATACGACATGGCCAGATCACGGTGTACCTAGATTTGGAAATTCGTTACTTTTATTCCGGCAAAAAATAAGATTACATGACAACTTGGACAATGGACCACCAATAATTCATTGCAGGTTTGTGAAAATTATGCAGAACATGTATGCCTCCTTTAATAAGAAATATTTATATGACAAAAAGTCATCAAAGATACCATACGTATAATGTATTATGCAGACGCGCGCCTCGTTTAAATAATACCCACCAGCAGTGCCTGAAAAAATTACTTTTAACTTCTTCACACTTATGGTTTATTCGATTAGATCTTGTTTACTATTATGCTATTGATGATATGCTGCCAGATATAAAAGGGCGAAAATTATGTCTCTTATTTTATTGAAGAGCAAATGTCCATTAACTACTTCCATGATGATCATTTACAAGAACTGAAACTTTCATTGGAGAAATTACTGGGCGGTGTTGAATCTATTTCCCCAGTAATTGTGTTTCAAGATATGTTAAAAATGTTCCAAAAGAATAAGAAAGATAGTTTATGACAATATTTTCAAAACTTTGTCGATTGTTTTATCGTTTTAATTTAGTCTGTAATGGTATTGAGAATGATACTGTTATTACCGTTGAAACATGTGTCTCTGACAGCCTTGAGGATATTAGAGCCAGAAGGTTAATGTTTTGCATCATTTATGTCCAACAACATGCAAAGAAACAATAAACACGACATAAATCAAGATTTGATGGATGAAAAATGTATGCTTTATTATATAACTTGACACAATTTTAGACTTCAATTAAGTTAATTTCATGTTGAATATAAACACTTGAATGAGATAATCTATTATCAATACAGACACCAGCAGTCTGAGATTAATCAGAATTAAACATAATCAAATTACATTAAATAATGATTTTGTATGACAGATAAAACAATGGGATAAATAATCCTGGCACCAGTCGCGTGTTGTCATTAGTTACCTGTATTTGACCAATTGTATGACATATGAGAGTGAGTCACGGGAGATATTTGCACTGACCAATAACTCTGAATGCTATATTGAGTCATTAGTTTATTGTTTAATTAGATTGAACAAATCGATATCCCGTGTTAAGACAGTTTTATCAAGTAATAGTAAGGATTTAAAATAATAAGAATATAATCAGTAACAACGCTTGTTTAAATCATGAGACATATCATGATTTATATTTCTATAACTTCTGATATTATCTCAAGTGAAATGGATTTGAACTCCCAATAAGCATTCGAGATTGATTGTGAACCTAATGTTTCAAAATTATTCCTTATGGGTCACGATTCGGTTGAAAATATGAATTTTCTTTATAGATTTTTTCATTGATAACAGGAGAGAGTTTTAGTACTGATAATTAAACATTGACATGCTATCGTGTATCCATTATAGACAAAACCGGTAGTTTTTAATGCATTATCATGTACGAATTTCAGATGTTTTCATCAATCTGTGACAGGTGTCAGAATGTCGATAATTTTTTTTTTCAGTGCCGGTGTGGGTAGAACTGGTACTTATATTGCAATTGATGTTAATCTAGACCAGGCTAAAAATGAAGGAATTGTTGATGTCCATAACTTTGTTCAATTAATGCGAACACAGAGGGTTAATATGGTCCAAACATTAGTATGTATTAAGATGTAGAGAATTTATTTTTTTCCCGCTTTTATTTTGTTTAAATCAAATTAGGCGAATTGATTTATGCTGAATAATCTTTATATTTCAATTTCATTGCTTAAATCATAAAATATAATAAATGATTATAATGAACTTTATCCTACATTTTTGTACTGCAGGACAAAACAACGTACAACGTTCAAGATTAGTACATTTTTTATGTTAAATTTTTAACAAATTCTCTGGACCCATTCAAGAAAAAGTTTGTTTAAAACAAAAACGACCTCAGACCATATCTACTGTAAAACTAGAATTCCTTTCAAAGTATTTTCTTCTAAAAATGGCTGTATCAAATCATAATGATTATTAATAATAATAATACTCATTAATAATTAATAATCAGTGTGTATATCCGGAATATCACAATTGTTTTAGTCGTTCTGTTTCGTTGGTTGATATAGAAGGGCGTTTGATTTTGTTATTTTATATGAACTTCTCCTTTTTTTAATTAACTTTTGAGTTCGGTATTTTTGTTATTACATTACTTAATTAATTGTTCAAATATAATATATTAGTTTCATATTCATAAATTCTACTTTTACTTATGTATTCGTCAGTGAATAATAACGACTTTATTTTACACCGGTAAATTACTGTCGCCTTTATTGATGTACAGGACCTTTTGATATGAAAAAAGGAGAAATGTAATGATAGCTTTTGAGACTACTATCCACCAGTCTAAAGACACTGAGCAAAACCCATATATCATATCGTAGGCTATAAAAGGCCCCGGCATACCAAAATGTGAAACAATTCAAAAGAGAAACCCAACGGACTGGTAAAAAATTGAAAACAACACGTTTAATAATTTCATGCGTCCGAAGCGCTTTTCTGGTAACTGTTACAACGATAAACGAAAACAAAACCCACAAATATAACAAACAGCAACCAACAACTACCGAAAAAAAACAGATTCTTGACTTGATGCAAGCTTTTGCTTTCTTAAAATTTTGTTATTAGGACTAAGAACGTATACAATATGTGTATCTATAAATAAATCGAAGTTGTATATCCCTTACCATAAAGATTTTCCTAATGACTAATTATTCCTGTGACAATGTTTCGCACTATACATTACCATATATTTTACAGGAACAATATCTATTTGTATATGACGTGTTACTAGAAGCATTGATATGTGGTGATACAACAGTCCCAGTACAAAAATATCTAGACACACTGTCCGATCTACTTCAGTATGACGAGTCTATCAGTAAAACAAAAATGGATGAACAGTTTGAGGTAAAATGTTTAGAGATAATAACGGGACTCAACACTATTCACAGGTTATAATTAAGGTCTCAATTTGGCGATGAAGATTGACCAAAATATTACGTTTGTATTTTGTAGAATATGGAGGAAGACCATAAATGGGAGAAAAAAAAAACTCACAAGTCGAAGAGAGTATTTATACACATTTAGCTTTGAAATGTTTGGTTTGAGCGTTCCTAATAAAAGTAAATCCCAAAAAATTCTAAGGACGCATCAAATTTATAAAGTGTTGGTTTCATCTTGTATTGGATTGATACCACTGATGTTAGACGGCTAGTCCTCCATGGTATCATCAGCTCAGTATTCAGTGTTTTGATACTCACATGATTCATAACACTACTTTCTTAAATTTTCCGTTAATGAATATAGAAAAAGGTTCCAACTCCCGCAGCCAAAGTTGACCCTTGCTGGATTTGGCTATTCTTTTGTGGTCTTTTTTCATATAGCCCCTAACGTAGTCCAGCATTTATCGTCATTGGCGTTAAAGTTTTAGTCAGATAGTTGAATTCGGACTGATGAATACATAGGCTAGCTAATATCCAGTACCGTTGTTGAAGCCCTTCCGCAAACATTCATGTCAACAGATATTTGTACCCACTACCCTTACGTAATTTTCCTTTTAAGAGATTTGTTTTTGCGTTTTATTTACATTAAATGTAAAACATATGAATTGAAAACTATAAATACTAAATTGATTACTTCATTTAATCTTTGAGGTTTACATAAAAGCATTTAACATTTAAGAGATTGCATGATATAATTACAAAATAATTGACTTCAGGTTTTAAGATTATTATCAGCAACCATAGAAAAAGATGATACCACTTCAGCTTTACATCCTGAAAATATTTTCAAAAACAGATCGACGGAAATAATTCCAGGTAAGATACATCACTCGGGTTTTATTGCAATTAAGGACCCAATCTGTCATCTAAGGTACTTTTCGTTAAATTCCTTGTCTTATCTCATTTGTGTTTGTTACATTGTTCCTCTCGAATATATAATAAAAACATTAGTTCTCTTGAATGATTTAATTACTGCATGTCTTTAAGTAAGACTTATGTTAACGTTCCGTGATACAAAAGCGTGATGAAGTTTATGAATATTACATGAAATTATCTTTATAGTATATCACTACAGGCAAATAACTTCTTGTAATAAATGAATTGTGTTTATGAATGGTCCTCATTTTATTAAAAAAAATAAAAAAAAATAATGATTTTACAAATATAATCATACAGCAAACGTGTTTTATTGAGATGATTTTATTACTAACAGACGACAGCATTAACACGATGTCAGTTGTAATTACAATAAAATTGAAGAACCGATGCATTCATATGCACATGTATGAACAGGTTAAAAAACTGAAGATTTTAATGTCTGATTAGTTTGAAATTCATATAATATGAAATACAATTTTGGGTCGTTTGTACAGATACATGATGTCAATACTTAATACGATGATTTCTTTGGTCAGGAACAGTAATTCAAATAGTATATATAAAAATTCATAGTTTGATATTAGAAGTTATCCTTCCTTTGTCACTTTAAGCAATGTCATCAGTTTACCTAACTGGTTATTTAGAAGATATTTTATATGAAATCATATCAGGTCATGTCTTTTAATGGATTGTTAATTTAAAAAATAAATCAAACACTTGATGTCCAAAGTACTTGTCGTGGAACTGATAAACTAATTGAATTTTCAAGTATTTTTTTATTCAGTATTAACTTATTTCATTTATGATCTTATTCCAGCAAACAGATGCCGACCTTATCTTACTACACAAGTCGAAGATCACAACGATTATATTAACGCAGTGTTTCTTAATGTAAGAATATAAAAGTTATGAAGTATCTTAATGACTATCCACTATATTTAATTTCTGGCAAATGTGCATGTATAATTGATAACTAAAAAAATGATAGTAAAGATGATACCACAATATCATCGCTATAGTCTATAGTTTACGGCGAAATTTTTATTTTTTTGAAAGGAGTTTTACAAACTCGTTAAGAAACCATTAGTAATTGGTTGATTATTAACCGTTAATCAAAGAAAGGGGTAATCTAAATATGAAGTTGGTATATCAAATTCAGTTAAAATAAATTTAGTCAAAGTACATATTGAAGTGAAAGATGAAAACCCCCGAATAACACAAAAAAGTCAATGTATTTGTTTCCGCAGGTTCATCTGCCCAGTAGCTTATTTTTTGTAATTTGCACGATTTAAATGATGTATTTAGTTTTGTTTATTTCTTGTTCATAAATTTGGTAATTCTGCAAAACCTAAAGCAGCAACTATACAAGGCAAAGTTTATTTACGGTTTTCACTATTCTATTTAGGCCCTCTTACTTTGTATCCACTCAAACAATTAATATCTTTGTCTCTCTAAACATTTGGTTACGGGCGTATTAAATGAAGATTATTTCAAACCACGTTTTGTGATCAATTTCATAATAGTTGGCAAAGGGTAGTTGTGGATTCTGGTTTTAAAAATAGCAACAGTAGTGAAGTTAAAACAAATCCTACGGACCCATTTTAATAGTTAGTGAATAGATAGGTGCATATGTAAACATGTATACAACTTTCTACTTTTGAAATAATTGTTCAGTAATACGTGAAAAACGGAAATTATCACATTTGCTTTTCATAGGCTTGTTCCAATAGTAAAATGAACATTGCAAAATACAAATTTTAAAACAGTTCAAAATAGCTAGCTCAAACCGATATTAAATCTCTACAAGAATTATCTGGAAGATTTTATTTTATGTTTTTTCGTATTGATGCAACACAGGGTTTAAAACCATATATCACAAGACCAAGTGAAAAGTATTAACTGGCGTTAACATTATAAAGACCATAGAATAACTATTTATAATTTCCAAAGGACAATAATGAACGAACTAAAGTAAGCTTGTTTATATTAGAACGACTAAGCTAATTGATAAAACTCTCCAAGTGTCTGTAAAAAGTGATCACATGAAATAAAACTACATGATGTGTAACAACGTTGTCATGGCCATTTCATTCATAGTTATATTTTTACAAAGTTTGAATGTTTTGACACCAACATTTCTATAATTGTTACTGCATGTTGACAAATTGATAAAATAGCTGCAACTATGGTGTATTAAAACTAAGTATAATTCAATATTTTAATACTTTAAGACACGATTAATCCTTTAACATTATATTACAGGGCTACGCAAGAAAGGATGCTTTCGTTATTACGCAGATGCCTTTACCTAACACAATAGTAGACTTCTGGAGGCTAATAATCGACCACAATTCTTATTGCATTGTAATGCTAAATGAAATTGACAAAACAGATAAGGTATACATATTAAAATTTCATTTGAATACATATATTTTGAAAATATAATTTTTCATTATAATTTTAATGAATTCATTACGATTTAGTAAGCTTTTTCATCATTTACTACACTATGTCCAAATCTGCACTGTTAGTGTAAAAACATTTTTTCATAGTTTTAATTTCCAGTATGGTAACAGACTATAAACAACGACTTCAAACTAGGTAGGATTTCTTTTTCACGCATGAACAAATATTTTTGTTTTAAATTGGACAATACAAATGGAGTTAAATGTTTTGGGTAGTTTGATATAGTATTTTCCATAATCGTTCTAAATTAATTGAGATATAGGGACCAATACACTGCAAAAAAAAAATATGTGGACCCCCACAACCCGATTTGACTCCAACAATCTGAAAACTGTTCTTCCCGTTTGACGAGACCTATTGCTTTCGTTCCTTGCATAGTGCTATAAATATATTAATTCAAAAAGTGACAATTCTTGCAATCTCCAATTATGTTGTGTTCCATCTGAAAAGCTCTTAACATATTTCTAAATTTGTGTAAAAAGATTGTGGAAAATGTTGTACAGTCAAACGTTGTTAAATGTGCGTTTATTTTCTACAATTTCATACAAATAAAAAATAAGTAAAATCTTATCTTTATGCTGTCGTTTGTGGCCGTCAATTTTGAAATGAAGTATTGGTTTTAAAATTGGCATATGCTACGGTCGAGATATAACTAAAAGAATGACGGAACTCGGTAAGAAAATGATAGGTGGTCTTGAAATGTTTATGTAGGTTACAATCCCTTTTTAGGGGTATGGAAGGTTCAAGTCTTGTTTTGTTGGGGGGATTATAGAATATATTGACCGAAATTTTAATGTTACAATAACTGATTTTCTGTAATATATAAAGTAAATTAATTTGACGATTTGGAAAACGGTAGTAGTATTATATTATTTTTGTAATACATTCCGGTTTCCGTCGGACGTGAAATTATATGTATTGTTTCTTAAATGTGTCTCAGTTTTTAAAGGAATTGCTTTAATGCTATAGCGTATAGCCATCTTTGTGACCCAGATCAAGCCAAAATTTTTGAACAGATTCCTCATCTGTCATTCTAAAAATCCTATGTATGATTTCTAATGAAACACATTAATTGAAATAGTTGAAAAACAATAGTGGTTTGTGAAGTTTCAACATATTGTTTGTAGATATATTTTTGTATTTAAAGGAACAACCGTATGACTATCAAAAAACGTAGAAGTCCGAGTGAAAAAGTTCATTTTCATACCTGCGATTTAGTATTTGAGATGTTTTAACAAAATATCGAATCATGTCAGTTGTTGATTTAATATCAAAAATTTGACTGAATTATCGCTTATACGGTTGCATGTAAGGGACGACATCAAAAGTTCAATGTAGGATTAAAAACTGAATTCACATAGTTTTTTCACTGACAATGTAGTGAATTTGATATGATCTATGTAATTTAAATTCAATGTCTGTTGTCTAGTGTTGACCACTGTCATATTTTTCTACTATCTCAAAAAATTCTAGGCCATAAAAAAGAATATGTTTGTTTGCCCTAACCCTACCTTCCCAGAAAATAGCTGCCTACTCAAAATCTTTTATTGTCCTGATGTGAAAAAGTTTTATTTTTAATCAGATAGGCATGATATAATAAACAATTGACACTTCAAAAAAAAGAAAGAAAATGCCTGCCTACCTACCCACTGTCTCTACCTTCCAGTAGGGTTTGGACAAACCAAAATATTTTTAAGTGTGGCCCTATATAACTTTCAAAATTTTTTTTAATTTATATTTCAGTTTGCATTTTTATAATTAAATAATTAACACAATTCAAAGAAAGTTTTATAGTTTGTATTTAGAATGCCACCATGCCATGTGGACCAAAACAATCTCTGTTGATCTGTATATGGGTTTCATATCATTTAAAATTCATGATCGATAAAGCGTTTGAACGACGTAGATACTATGATTAATTTCGCCCCAATACTTTCGGCCAGAAATTTGCTTTCCAGTACGATTTGATGGCTTTCATTTGGTTTAAAAGTCCAAACATTTGTTAGGGCCGAACTTAAGTCCATAATTTTTTATCCGAAAATCGATGTCGGATGAACTTGCAGCGATTTTTACACCACCCCCAAACGATTTGAATTAAGTTTTTTTTTATCCTACATTGATCTTTTGATGTCGTCCCTTATTTAATTCGTGTTTCTCTTTGAAACAGGTCAAGTAGCTCTTGTTCATTCATAAAATTATCGTAAAATCACTACGCCGGTTATAGTAATGAAATCTTATCTCCCATTATTTGTTTTAAATTAAAAGTAGCACAGTTTTTCGGGAGTTATACTTTTCCGCAAATATATTTGCCTCCACCGTAAGCCGGGTAAACGTGTCGTCCCCCTGTGAAATGTAAAACATTGTAAAAATGACTTTCTGCTGGATAAGTCTTTTATTGATATAAAGTTAAAACATCCTAACTTCTCACTTAGATAAGACTCCTGTCAGGTTTAATTCTTTTACATGTGGATGAATAATAAGTCACAAAAACATTAACTAGGCAGCAATTGCTGTAACAGCCTTTAAGACTTTGATTTTACTTAAGGCTTAAGTGTAGTAATAAGGCCTCATTGAGCAAGGAAGCTGTTATTTTATTGTTGAGCCGTTTTATATTTGACAGGACAATGAACTGAATTTATGTTTAAAATTCATTTTTTACAACGATTTTTAATTAAGGAATTTTGATCTTTTGACTGAAATAAATGTAACTTTTCCGGCATCACTCAAAATAATAGGAAACATTTCATGACTTTTGTCCGTACTAAAATTACATTTGTGTATAGAGTTGTTCCTTTTGATGTTTATTAGATTATCAGGAGTTTTTGGTGGAGTTAGTTTGTTCAATCTTGAGTTTTCTGAGATGTGTTTAATGGTCAGTTTGTTTGCTTTTTGTCTTTTGTTTTTGTCTTTTCGCAATTATGTTGTCTGTTTTCCTTCGTACGGATTTTATGACCCCTTGGAATCTTCCTAATTATTAAGGCTAAAGGCGTAATACCACCAAAACATGGTACGTCACATCCAGTTTCATATGAAAAGGGGTCGAAAAAAATATTCCCTTGAATTAGATAGTTGTAGGAAATTAATTCTGCATGTCATTGCAGAAAAATTTCTGAGTCAAAAACATATACCGGTATCTGGAGAGTTTCAAAGCACCATTTTATTTAATTTAGAGTTTCTATAAAATATTTTGGAAACTTGAGGTGACATGGTTACTTAAGCTTGTAAACATGGAAAAAAAGGGATGAACATTTGATTGGTTTACTCCCGGTGATAGTTGTTATCTTATATGCAATGAAATGTTACGCGAAAATTTCACTGTAGTACTGGACAGGATAAAACTTTAATCGTTCCATGTATTTCCTTATTTAAAACAAAGATAAATTCTGCACATTTTTTTTGAAAAATGCTATTTAAACAATGACTAATGGGGGAAAACAATGGTTGTATTACTCCAATCATCTCCCAGTTATAAGCTCAATTTCACAGTAATGTAGATTTGTGAAAATGGTATGTTGACTGTTGTCTATATTATTGATATGATATTTTTGAAATCATAAACTATTGTACTCACCATGAAGCAATTCTTATTCTCTTTTTTAGACATGTGAACAATATTGGACATTAGAAACTTGTGGTGAGAGTTACGGACCTTTTATTGTCGAAACAACAGCCGAAATCAAATCTGATCCCAGCGTCACAGTCCGAGACTTTACGATTACAAATACATTGAATGTAAGTTTTTCTTCTCATTTATGTTTTGATAATGTCAAATACGTTTTTGTATATACTAAAAAGATATATTGGTCAATATCAATACATTTGTAAGTCTGTCTTGATAAATAATTTTGAAGAGATATATGTATATATAAATATTTCTGAAAACTGTCTTTATGTATGTTATGATACACTAAGACGTTCAATTAGATTGTGTGTATATTTTTGTTACACTTAGCCTCAGGAGGTTCCACGTGTGGTTCGACAATTCCATTTTCACAGATGGCCTGAAGGTGCTAATGTACCTAACTCAAAAGCTGCATTGCTGGAACTATTAGATATGGTAGAAAATTGGCAAAAGCAAAGTGGAAATAAGCCAGTCACGGTTCACTGCATGTAAGTTAAAAAGACTTAGCTAGAATCATGAATGTATATTACACATAGTTTTAGTTGTATTTTTGGATAGAAAAAAGAAACGCTTTTGATTTTTTTTAACAACTTGTTATTATGACAACAACTAATGATACACCTCATACCTTAATTTTCAGATACAAGAATAACAAAAATTGATTTAAGTCCGCTTATTCCAATAATGAATTTATATGATTTTCTATATAATCAGTATCAATACCACCATGGTCTTATCCATCCCGTGTATAGTAGCAAGTTATTTCAAATATTGGAGAAATATAACGTTAAATATCGTTTAAATCGTTTTGATATATTCATTTATATTTACAATACACTTATCTCCCACCAGTTTACTTACTTTATAAAAGGGGCAACAATAGTTTACCGATGTAAAAAAACTTTGGAATATACAAATCCAGCAACGAAAACACGAGTGAATCGCATGACCGTAAAACGGAGCGAACCCTTTTTTCGTGTGTCCTATGATCTCAAACAAGCCTTTCACGAGTTGGGACACTGGCATATCGTAGCGGTCAACTAACTCGATTTGGAGACCGCAACAGCTGTGGTGTGTGTCATTATTAAAGAGAGATATTTACTACTGATAAATTTGAAAATCGGCATTGTTCTTTTACGCAGAAGGCTTTTTAAGAAGTCTGCTGCACATGAATACAAAAATATTTTGGTCGTTAGGGCTGCCCATTTGCTTGCAAGCTCTGGAATATCGTATCAGCAGGAAGTTATATATGTTATAAATGCTGCTGGAAGTTTGCTACACAGAAATAGAATTAATTGAAAAGCCGAAATAACTTTTAAATATCCCTCAAACGCCTTGAACATACCAAATGTTTTTTTTTCTCTCACAGACACACATGTTTCGTTCCACAGGTATCAACAGCCAAACATGCAGCTCTTCAATGTTGATATGAAATATCATTGCTATTGTCATTTTCTGTAAATTTACTGTCCAATAAATTTTAAAATTCTTCGCAAACACTAAAGTATTTCTATCTCAGGCATTGATGGTCTTAGCCCAACCTTTTCTTTTTTTTGCTATTTATTTTCATAATTGATTTGGTCTTCCAACTCTTTTGAATCGAGTGCCACTTATGAGTCATGGTTGACGAAACACATGTCGGGCGTAATGCATTACTAGCCTGGTAACTTTGTTGAGATTTTTTTCACAGACGATTGATGTTTGATTGGAAAATGTGCTATGTTTGAGAAATGAGGAATATAGGAAAATTATATTAAACCAAGGATTTTATTTTGTAATCTTGAAAAGGGTATTCTGAGAGTTTCAACCCGGAGAAACGGGTAAATCAATCACGATATTAACAATTTTGAAAAAAAAAATAAGTTTTTAATATTTAAATTTGATAACTTACTAGTTCATTTTATTACTACTTTTGCACGAGGCTTGTTATCACTGATTTGGCTGATGCTCTTTCGTCCTGAAGATTTGTATATGTAGACAATCACTGAATGGTTATAATCAGCAAAAATGATCCTCGTTAAGGTATATAAAGAGAGGAAAACGCTTCTCTTCCCATGCAACATCCAGTTTTTAATCAGATGGATTTTGTTTTCTCTAAAGCTATTTTATAAAGCAGAAACGATATATAAAATATGCAACAGACCTGCATGTATTAAACAGAAGCTTTGGCTATTTTGATTCATGATGTAGCTGTACAGTATTTTAACTCATAGTACATTCAAATTTTACAGATCTTCAGTATAGTTCTATTCATTTTCCATTGCTTTAAATAGTTATCACTTAGTTTTGAGAAAAATTGTCAGCTGTTCCCATTCAGAATTATGTACGCAAGACTGCTTATGTAGACGAAACATGCGTCTTGAGTACTCAACTGTAGGCCTGGTATCTTTGATTAGGTTTTGTTTTTGCACCTTGCTATCTACAAACGTTACATACTACAATACTATATATTGAAAATATCACTCATTTAATTAATTTCATGTAAGTCGTCAAATGTTCATTTGCGTCAGGCGTGTGTGTCAACTCACGGACACAGTAAATATTTCTATAGACATCGGTTCAACGACTTGGCGTTAATTTTGTTTATAATACACCATAATTACTAAACGCGAAAATTCGTTACAGCTCAGTATATGTAAAATCAAATTTATCACTAAATTAAAAGATCTGTTATCAAGAAATCAATTATTTGTTGCAACTAGATCCATCTGTTGAAATTGTAGATGCGATGGTATTATTTTATATTTATCTCAGAATAAAGCATTTCATGTTTCATTTAAATGATTGGTTTATATAACCTTGAATAGATTATTAAAACCCTTATTACTCGACCTTGAACATTCTATATATACAGGAATGGTGTCCTTCGTAGTGGATTATTTGTAGCAGCAAATTATGTATTAGAACGTATTAAGGCAGACAAAGAAGTAGATGTCTTCCAGGCTGTGAAACAAATGAGATTAAATCGTCCACAGCTGATTGATACTCTGGTAGGTGACATATTGCTATGTTATCATTACAGTGTTTTTCTTTGGGATACATTAGTCCTTTGAATATTAAATTTGCAAGGTTGATGTATATTAAATAATTAGTGTTGCATCTGGGTTATGTTATTAAATGCAAGAGACATTGATGACAAAACCATTATAAGACGGAAAGTAAGAGGTTTGAGTGTTTGACAGATTAAATCATAAAAAGAATAACCAAATGTAATTTGAAAAATTGCAAAATATTGATAACGACCGACAAAATGTTTGAATGATCAAGATAAAATAACTTCCAAAACAATACAATATGAAATAACCAACATGTGGGTTATGACTTAAGATATTTGTATAAATGGATTACTAAATTAATAACGCTTTCGGGTGCTAGATGCCTTCTTGATCTTTTCATGGAATGCTTGTCTCATGCACATTATTTTTTATGCCCCCACCGTAGCTTAGGGGGCATTAAGTTTTACCCTTGTACGTCTGTCCGTACGTCTGTACGTCCCGAAATTGGTTTCCGTTCTCTAACTTTAGTTTGCCTTAACCAAATGTTATGAAACTTATACACAATGCTTATTATAACAAAACCCAGATCAAGTGTGAATTTGGGCGGCGTCATTTTTACCTTTCAAGAGTAATGACCCTTTATAAATGGAAAAATGCTGAATTTTTCGTTTCCGTTCTATCAGTTTGCCTAAACCAAATGTTATGAATCGTATACACAATGCTTATTACCACAAACACAGATCAAGTTTGAATTTTGGTGACCTCACTTTTACTTTTCTAGAGTTATTCCCCTATACAAATGGAAAAATTGCTGAATTTTTCGTTTCCGTTCTCTTACTTATGTTTGCCTCAACTAAATGTTATGAAACTTATACACAATGCTTATTACCACAAAACTCAGATCAAGTATGAATTTGGGTAGCGCCACTTTTATCGTTCTTGAGTTATGTCCCTTTATAACGTTATTATGCAAGCGGGGCATCATCTGTGTCCCATGGACACATTCCCCATTTATTTCCTTATGATGCATCCTATGTTTGACTACAAGTCGCAGTAATGTTGAGCATGTTTGATTCCAATGTAATAAATGGTTAGATATAATTTCTGGTTTTAACATTTTCCTTTCCAGAAAGGAAATGCGACTGTAATAAATTGTCAAAATTAAATTGTTGTACACAGAGATTTGCTCACTTATTAAGTATGTTTCAATTTTTTTCAGGAGCAATTTAAGTTCTGCCACGAAATTGCATTTGAGTACCTAAACAATCAACACACGTTTTCTACATTTTCATGATAATAATGAAAATACACAATGACTATGTTGTTGGAAGGATAACCAATCCATGACGTCAGTCTGATATTTGAATCGTGCCAAATATAAAATGAAGGAGAGTGAAGAATTGGTGCTACCAAAGACTTTCATTATAAACTGTAAAACATCAGATCATATCACTGTAGAAAACCATTGTTATAGAAAATACCTCAAACAGCTGAGCTATAGAGAGGGATAAGATGCATAAAAGCTATGTCATTTTGTACTTATTGAGAAGGTTTATATGAACGAGTAGACACTTTTAAAGTGTAAAGAATATTGAATGTTGTAAAAGATAATCAAAACTGTTCTTCCGAATTGTTCCAGTTCAAAATATACTATCATGTTGAAGACAGAATTCCATTTACTGCTGTGAAATTATTTATAAGGTGATATTAAACTATTAAAACCAAATTGTATTTTCACACTGGCCTCTTTTCGGTGTAGCAATTTTCTCTCATTTGTTTTAGAGCTGTTTCATTTGAACTTAAGTAAAGCAGACATTGTATGTTGTAATGGTATACGAGTTAAGAACTTCCTGTATTGAATAACTTGCTTTATATAACTAGGGTATTAACCATCTTATCTCTCTTTGCTAGTCTGTGATAGTTCATTATTACATAATATTTATATGTTGATAAAATGAGAGTGAATGAGGGCTTTATTTGATCAAATCTATTATATTGAAGCTTTAGAATGAGAGTGGAGAATAATCATGTCTGATACAAGAAGAATATGAAAGATGAAAGCGATGGCAAATATAGAATAATGTTACATTTATTTAAAAGTATTTTATGCTCTTATACCATAAATGGCTAGGCATTTTTCATCTTTGACAAATAATGGATACACTTTTCTAAATACACATGTACAGACATTATTAGTGTTTCAACATATCATTGTATAAAGTAACTATCACAATAATACGGTTAAGTTATATTGTATGAAAACATTTTTGTTTTAGACGTCCATACCCTTTGCTCATATGTACATGACATTACATTTTATTGACGTCAGATCTTGTGAGAATCCTATATAGTATAAGCTATACGTTACAGGCTGAATATACTAATGGTTAATTATCGAAATAAGATTTGATACCATTTTACAGAAGTCATTTTATTTCATGCAATATTCATGACAGGAATACTAATAATTAAGTTTTACTGGACATTTTGTCAGCATTTATATACAGCTTTTAACGTTAGATGAAATCTTAAATGAAGCTTTATAGATCATATTGTTATAAATAAATGTGATTTTATAAAAAAAAATTGTTTCTTTTATATCGCTTGCTATGATAGTATACAATATACAAATTTTACAGGCATAGTTCTTATAATATACCTTGTAAATGAATAAACTTGACATTTAGCTCAAAAGACCTTTACAATTTTTTATCTTTTGTCTTTTCCATAATTTGCAATAAAATATGTTTTGACATATAAACGTTAACGGTATGAAACAATTGTGTCTATCGTTAAAACTTCCCGAGTGACGAACCCAACATCACAACTTGGAATCCCTTGTTCAACAGCCTCCCTACAAGCAGCAAGCTTCTACCAAGGGAATCACGACAGGAACCGCAACAGTCCGATCTTTCTCACACGTGAACACATGAACATAGACATGAACACATAACTCAATGACGTCAAAAAAGTTACCGGAGTGTTTAATCTAAGATGACAGAAAGCACAAATCATAAATCAATACTATAGTAAATAATAGTAATGATAACTTAATAAGCATATGCAAATTTCTTAAAGTTCAGACACCATGGTAACATATATTCATCAAGATGAGTGCTGCTCTGTAATCAGTATAAAAACCAAAAAAAAGACGGAAATATTCACGAAGAACTAAATATTGACGATGACGAGGGTGATTAAAAATCTATCAAAATCATAGAGAACAGACAACATAAGACATTACAAAATAGATTCACATATCATTGATTAAAAATGATACTTTACGTGCGTCCAAAGCGCTTTGCTAGATTTATCTACATTATATGAACGCTAAAACCCAATCATTAGAAACCCAGGAATATGTATATACGTAGAAACGTTAGGAGCTTTATGACCAAAAGGGACATAAAAAGAATAGCAAAATTCATCTTATGCCTAGTTCACACGTACATTTAATTCGAATTGAATTCGAATCGAATTCGCTAATCGCGTTCACACACTCTTCCTTTTTAATTCGAATTGATTCGAATTGGCTAATTTGCATTAACCAATTCGCATTAGAAATCCGTTTTTGTTGATACGAATTGAAAGTTAACGTCGTTCGGACAGTAAAGCGAATTTGACGCGCATTGCCATTCGAATTAGAATTTACGTTCGGACGTAAAACGTTTCGAATGCGAATTAAACTAATTCGAATTAGTTAATGCGAATCGAATTCGAATTACGTGCGAATTGCAATGCGCGTCAAATTCGCTTTACTGTCCGAACGACGTTAACTTTTAATTCGCATTATCAATTAATTTATTATAATTTAATTCGAATTACAATTTAGAAAGTGTTCACACCTCAGTTTAATTCGAATTAATGCGAATTAACTAATTCGTATTAACGAAAACGCATTTCTAATGCGAATTGGAGAATACGAATTAGCCAATTCGAATTCGATTCGAATTAAAAAAAAAAGAGTGTGTGAACGCGATTAGCGAATTCGATTCGCATTCGATTCGAATTCAATTCGAATTAAATGTACGTGTGAACGAGGCATAAGTTCAACTTGCAAGAGGGGTTGGAAACTTAGTTTCTTGATAATTTCTTAATACAATGTATATCTAAGGGGGATTCGAGAATAGGATGCTATAGGATATACGTTTAAACAATAGTGAAACGGAGAAACGTACCAAAAATTATAAAACTAAAACGAAAGCCTAGAAATTACCATTAGACGGCACCATATCTGTAGGCTTATACTGTGGCACAAAACATGATGCACTGGTCATGTGAGTGGTCAATTATCGCGTTACAATTAATTATAGTATTAATATAACCTCTGAAGTAAAGTTGTAATTAAATAACTTTTTACAGAATCTTAATTTTGCTTCTATAGTAAGATTTCAGGAGTTCTGTCGTGCACTAATGATAACGAAGGATTAAGATTGTTTAGATAAAGTTGATAAATGCTAGCATGAAAATCAAAGGAAAAAAATAAAGGTTAGAGATTAATCTTGTTAGAAATGTAAAGAATTACGAATTAATGAGTTTGGTAACAAATACTGTTACGGAAATATCAAATGTACAACATAAGAAACTATACAAATATAAATTTGAAAGAACGTTTGATAAATCTATTTCATTCAAACTGATTTAGAGTTAGCTACCGATTCTCCCGTAGACAGTTTCGTGATTTTTGTTAGTAACGTCGTAATTTACAATAGACAAACGAGGTATCGTTTTCGTCTTTTTACGCAATGGAAATTTTACCTTAAAAACATGTACTGGTAAAGTACCGACCATGATTACTGTGTATTGTTAGGATAATCCGCTTTTAACCAGAGTAACCGTTTAAGCAGAGATCAGACTCCTAAAATTGGGGGAAGAGAAAAAAGAAAATACTTTGGTGGAAAATGTCATTTTATTCTTATTGCGTCAACTTTGGGATCAAGGTTTTCAATCTGCAAATAACAAAGTAAAACAGTCTCAATGATTTATTATTTTAAATTCCATAATTCAATAATTAAAATGCACATAACTCAAATAGAATAAGCATTTTATCATCGAAAACACGTACCAAATATCAACGAATGCAGAACAGCAATCCATACCTTCAATATCCTCAGTAATAAATATACTCAGACTTTTTTGTCCCCCGCGAACGCGTTGCGGGGGACATAGAAATACCGGGCGTCCGTTCTTCCGTCCGGTCTTTTTAGCGCTCTAACGTGTACAGTTCTTGCCAGATTTTTATGAAACTTATATCATAGGTTTATATTATCAATGTCTTGGACGAGTTCGAAAAACAGTGCCGATCAATTATTCTTAAAAGAGTTATGCCCCGTAGAAATATTAATTATATAGAAAATTGCATCGTTAGCGCTGTCATGTGTATAAAATTCTTAACAGATTTTTAATGAAACTTATTTCATAGGTTTATATCAGCAATATCTTGGACGAGTTCGAAAATCAGTGCCGATCAATTATTTTTTAAAAGAGTTATGCCCCTGGAAATATTAATTATATAGTAATTGCAATTTTAGTGCTCTCATGTGTACAATTCTTGCCAGAATTTTATGAAACTTATATCAGGTTTATATCAGCAATGTCTTTGACGAGTTCTAAAATCAGTGCAGATCAATTATTTTTGAAAGAGTTATGCCCCTGGGAAATATTAATTATATGGAAAATTGCCTGATGACCGCTCTAATGTGTACAATTCTTGTCAGATTTTTATGAATTTTATATCATAGGTTTATATCATCAATGTTTTTGACGAGTTCGAAAATCAATGCCGATCAATTATTCTTAAAAGAGTTATGCTCATTGGAAATACAATTGCATTGTTAGCACTCTCATGTGTACAATTCTTGCAAGATTTTTATGAAATTTATATTACAGGTTTATATCATCAATGTCTCAGACAAATTTAAAAATCAGTGCCGATCAATTATTTTTAAAGAGTTATGTCCCTTGGATATATTGATTATATGGTCGGAAATTGCGTGGTTAGTGCTCTCATGTGTACAATTCTTGCCTGAATTTTATGAAACTTATATCATAGGTTTATATCAGTAATGTCTTTGACACTTTCGAAAATCAGTGCTGATCAAATATGTTTAACGAGTTATGCCACTTAGAAAAATTAATTATAACGGAAATCGCATTGCATTTGCTCTGAAGCCTTCATTTCTCTAAGATATTTATTAATTGTTTTAAAGGACAAAAAAAAGTGTTTTATTTAGTTATTGCCATTGTACCTTGGATAGATAAGTGCGGGGGACATTGTAACTCTGTTCTTTTATTTAGTTTTATTTTATTGTACATCAAACTAAGTGGTTTTTGTTTGCTACATCTGATCCCAATTGATCGAAATACCTTCATTTTTGTACTCTAGGATCCAAACATTAACCAACGAATTAACTGTTCTGCCTATTGAGCTGATGATAATCTCGTGAATTTACAGTCAATCAGCAGCAATATCGATGCAGTGCTAGTAAATGAAAACAATGCTTTATAAATTCCGTGCGTCCGAAGTGCTTTTCTTGATTTACCTTCATCACGAACGCTCAAAGCTAAACATTTAAAAAGCCGGGAATGCGTAAATACAGATCTAAACAGAATATCCAAATTCATCTAAGGTCAACTTTGCCTGAGAGATTTGGAACCTAAGTTTCTTAATAATTTTCTTAATTTATGAACGGGGAATTTTGAATTATATGTTAGAAATCATGTCAGTACCGAAGTACTGACTACTGAGCCGATGATACTATCGGGGACTAACAGTCCACCAGCAGCGCTATTTAATAGCCTTATTAGAAAACAGCAAAGTCTGTAACCCGACTCCTGCTTGTGTAATATTTCAAATTTACATGCCTGGTTTGTTCAGTCGAAGGGAGATAATCTTTTGTCGACTTAATTTGGAACAACGTCTTCCGAGAAGGTCTGGAAAAACTTACATGTTCCGGTGAGTTCCGAAAAAGTCCTGAAAAAAAAATCTCCATTTGTAGACTCCATACAGCGTTATCGTTCGGGTCATACTTCCCTTTCTCTACAAAGAAGCGTAGCATTATGTCACCACTGTTTCGCAGTTTGCTCCATTTGGTAAAAGCCCTGAATTGAAGGATAAATCGTTCGAGGACGTAAATCTGAAAGTTTACATAAGATGGCGCCGAGTAACTGGCCGTGTGGTTTTCTAGCATGGATAGTAAAAATGGTTTTATAAGCCTTAAAATAAGTTAGACTTGTACAGTAAGGTATGTTGTAATATAAAAAAGTTACTATTTAGTGCAAATAGGGATTAATACACTACTGATATCATGTACCCTTTCCTAGAATTAACTTTGTTATTTAAGAAGTATAGATGTTCATAATTTTATTATTAATCGAATATTTTTAAGGATTTGTGATTCGTTAAAACTTGATCACATGTACATTTGTATTTACTCAGTTTGCACGCCAATACTGTTGTGCTTAGCTTTCCGTAGGTCAAAAACAGCATATTGCACAGGGCATACATCATGTTACTAAAAATGCATTCTAAAAATCCCCAATTTGGTTGAGGTTAAAACGAAGTAATATCGACCTAGAGAAGCAAATCGACGACCTCGGACTACGTCCTCAGTCAATATGCTTGTCTTTGGTCGATATAACC